CCGAACAAAAAAAAACCAATGAGAGGTGAATATACTGAAATTCTCAACTCCTTGGCTAGAAATCAGGTACCTGCCCAGGGTCCCCTTAAATCCGAGCTTTACCTGCCCACTTAGGCATTCAATTCGGGAGAGATCTCCATACTTAGTCAGCTCGTTACTTTACCTGAAAAACGACCCAGCCGGACCCGGATGAAGATATCCCCAACATGCATCAAACATGACTCGGTGTACCCGGTCAACTGTCTTTTGCAGTAAGATAATAATTTACCTCCAGTTCGGTGACACTTTTGGGTTGTGGGCTGGTCTCTCGGGGCAACATCACCACGAAGTTTATTCACAGCCAGCCAACCTGCCATGTAGGTACCTACCTACCTACCTATCTAATCTTGCACATGTGCACAGCGCAGGATATGAAGCACAGCACAGAGGCAGCCAAACAAAACATGAAAAACATGTCAGTCAATGGCGCTGTCCAACTTCCTTGCCGGTCAGTGTGCAGTAAGCCCGACCGGTTTGACTCAGGAGTCCCAGTCAGCAGTGTTGGTTCAGGAGCATGTTCTGTAAAGGTATTGGAACCTTTCTCAGCTCCATTGCCTACCAACAGCAAAAGTGATGGTGTCTGTGTGCCTGCATTTCATCCACCTATCTTGCCTATCCAACCACACATCAACCAAGGTTACACGTTTCTTTTTCTCCATGGAAGATCGATCTTATGCTACGTGTTCGCCATGCACCCCCAAGATGCATTATGCAGGCCCAACAACCAACCCCCTTAAACAGCAATAATCTTCAATAATAGAGTAAACCCATCTCCCCCCCCCCCCCCAAAAAAAAAAAAAGCAAACATCTGTCTGAGTCAATGATTCATCACCACGAAACAAACATCCAAGACATTGTAGTGCGAACAGATGATCTGATACTTGCAACTCAACCTCCAATTGGCCCCCTCTTTTTATGGAAATAGGTACCTTACCTGGTACCTAGATATTACCCCTTTAGGGCCTTCTTCAACAATCATCATCCTGCTCCTCCCTCCCTTCACCGCTTCCCTATTCTTCCATACTCCCAAAAATAATACATGATCGTATTCCAATTCTTCCTCACACAAACACCGGCCCGAATATCGCCAATTTTCCCTTCCTCTTCCTTCCTCAGTTCCCCTCGCCTAGATAGGTGCCCTCTCGCCCCGGCTCATCGGCCCTCAACTCCGCCTAGGCGCCCTCCAAAAGGGGGCCTTGGTCTCCTTACTCAGCCATGCCATACACACGCACACACATACACACGCATCACGTATGGGACCAACAAGGGCCCATCCGGAAGGAAAACCTTCTTTTTTTTTTGCTTTTTTTGTTTCCAATGGAAATATTCTCCGTATTCTCCGTAGTCTCCCGTGTTGGCATATGCAGGCCCTCCACCACCATATTCCTCCGATGCCAACGACTGCACAATCAGCCTCTTTCCTTTCCCCTATGCGGCTCTCCGTGCCCTTTTCTTTTCCCACCCCTCCCCCCCCTTCTTCCTTCTTCCTTCTTCCTTCCCATATGGTTCTCTTTTCGGGTCCAGATTTTGTTGGGAAAAAAGCAAGAATGCAACCATAACCCACGAAAACGCATGGATAGACTGAGGGAAAAAAAGATCAAAGAATAATAAAAAAAAGGCTAAAAGCTCCCATTCCTGAACACCTGTGTATCATGAGACCTGTCAACAACAATACAAGACAATACTAAGCAGGAAAACCATACAAGAAAAAAATATAGCAAAACCCCGTACATGAGTAAAGTCAATAACTCCAATGTCAAAAATAAAAAAATGGGCTTGCAGTTTCCATCGTTGCGTGACTTTCGGTTCCCTCTGAAATGCTGGCGAAGGCATTGCACAAAAAGGTGCTCGGCTTGTGGGTCCAGTCTACTTCTGACCAAAAAGGCCAGCCAGGAAGAGGGACATAGTTTTCTTTCCTGCGGCCCGAGAGGGTTATGATGAGGGAATTATTGTGGACTTTGCTGGACCCAAAGAAAATAGAAGAGACCAAAAGCAAGCGTTGCGTTCCATGCGCCCCCGAATGATTTGCTGTGAGATGGTCGAAACAAACCGGGAGATGCTGCATGAGCCCCCGGGGATTGGGATAAATGAACGCTCCAGTACAACCCCCCCTGCGGCTGCTATATTGATCGTCGTCATCGAATTATCGCTCTCTGTCGCTGGCTCGCCAAACCTGGGTATTATGTTCCTCCAACCCCATACCGGCGTCTTTTGGAATCTGTTGTGTGTGCTGTACTAGGTGAATGGTTGGCACAGCCATCCATCAATGTTTCGAACTTTTTCTTTTTGGTCTGTAACTGCTAGACGCTCGCGCGCTTCTTCCCGTTTCCGCGCTGCGGTCCCTCGTAGTCTTCAGCCTCGGGCCGATATTCCTCGGGCTGAAAGTTGGGGTTGTTGTAGTGCGCAACGTTGAAATGGCTGTTCCGAAACGTCGACGTTTGGAAGCTGGGTTCGCGCCATGTGTCGTTCTCCACGTACTCGGGAAGCTGGCAGTACTCGCTGAAACGCAGTGGGTGTGTCTGCAAAGGTGCTGCCGGAACTACCGCCGGAGCTGTATGGATGGGCAGCGACATGGGAACCGGGGCCGCTTGTACCGCGACAGAGACCGGAGGCGCCTGCTGAGGAGGCTCAGCAAAGGGTGGGGTCATCCAGGTTGACGTGGGACTCGGGCTGTATGCCGACAATGGTGATGGGCTGGTATCCAGAAGGGTTGGGGCTAGACCCGGTGGCGGCCCATGAAAGCCGGGAAGCATGCCGAGCACCCCCATGTTGATGCCGTAGCTAGGCATGGAAACAGGGGCGCTGGCGATATCGTAGGTGGGTGAAAATGCCACGCGATGAACCTGCACAGTAACGGGCTCGGGAATCGGCTCGGGCTCGGCAACGTAGAGAAGGTCGTAATGATCGGGACGGAACAGGAGGTAGATGATGGGTCCAAGTGTCGATGGGTGTCGGTCCCTGGCCTCCTCAGGAAACCGGTACGAATTGACTTCGGAGCCAGGACTGCGGTCAAGGTAAGCCACTTCCAAAACAAAACCGACAGGCTTGAGAAGCACATCGACCAGTAACGAGACACCAAGGTGGTCAATCTCGACCTGATGACGCTCCAGGACGTTGCTGCAATAACCCTGCACACCTGCCTCGTCCGTGACGAAAGCGCCATACGTATCCTGGTTGCCCTTCAGGTATGAACTCGCCAGCAGGCGAAAGTGGTACATGATGGCATTGCCGATCTCGGAGTCGTTGAAGGTCGCATATACCTCTCTCATGGCCTGCTCAGGGTCACCGGCAAGGGCGGCAACCCTGTCGAGGAGGAGCAATGTCTCCTCGACAAAGTCAGTATAGACATATGGGGAGTGGCCGCCAATGGTCTCGATGTAACTGTTGAGGCCCTCCAGACGTAGCTTCTCGGCCTCGATCTGGCCCTTGTTGCCGCCTTTTACCAGCGTCTCGAAGTAGCCAAAGGCAATGGCTGCAGGAGGCAGTCAGCACAAATGCCCGGAATGTGCTCGTTGGGAATCTCGAAGAAGCAGAAAAGGAAAATCGCCGACTCACCCCGCCAGCCACAGTTCCCGTCACCTTGGATCGGGCGGTAATGCGAGTAAGTCCGGGGTAACACCTGTCAAGCCATGTCAGCTAAATCGTCCGAGGCATAGAGACAGCATGCATGCACGTACCGCCGTCTTCTGGATGTATACCGGATCGGCCTTGGCATATTCGCTCGTGATGGCGGAGCTGGGCGTCTTTTCGCCTACGAATGGGCCCTGTACGCGCGGGAGAGAGAGACAGTGGTGAGCATATATGATTTTCAGTTGTTCAGGGGGCCCCGAGGGACAAGCAGCATACCTCGAGCTGGGGTTGGAATTCCCGGGCGGCCGCCTCCTGGGCGACTAGATCCTCGGGATTTGGCTCCATCTTTTGAATGGCGAAATGCGGCGGCGAGGACCGGTGATGTGTGGTAGCGGGGACGGACGAGGTGAGAGCAGAGGCGGAGGTTGCAGAGGTGGTGTGGAAGTTGAAGTGGCCGGCGGCAGAAGATGCGGGGCCGACGCCCGCAGCGTTGGCGCTTGCTGGCGTGCTGAAAATGGGCGAATAAAGCAGGGACCTGCCGGCCGCGCCTCCTACCCCAGGCCCTCCCAGCCCGCCATATCCACCACCGCGTCCACGCCGGTCCGTTAAGCGCAACGGTGTCTCATCGAATGTGTACTGGGGCAACGTCTGGGGCAGCGAGTATCCAGCCGACACTTGATGGACGAACTGGGCTGCTGGGTCTTGTTCGTACATGCCGGATTCTCTTGTTCGGTTTTCTAGCTAGAGGTATGTCCTGGTGGAGGTGCAGGTGGCTGATCGGATCACCAGAGAGCACCGGCGAGCGGCAGCAGCACAAGCAGCAGCAGCGGCAGCAGCCTGAGAGAGAGAGAGGGAGAGGGAGAGGGAGAGACAGAGAGAGAGAGAGAGAGAGATATGTATCTAAGAAAACAGGTTTGTTTTATCTTTTCTCTCTGTCTGGTGTGTGTTGCCCTACTGCGTGTTGGCTACTCCAGCGTCCCGTCGTTCGTTTGCACACACAGCCCGTTGAGGTGTGATAGGTATGTACCGTACCGTCGTGTGTGTCAGGTCTCTCTTATTATCGGATCGGGGAACCACAGCGGGACCGCCAGCGACACTTGTAAAACCGAGGAGGAGAGGTACGCATGAAAGAACAAGAACAGACGAGTATGGGTAAAAGTAAACAAAAAAACCAAAAAAATGATAAGTGATTTTCACAACGACCGACTTCACCAGCGGATGGTACCAGAGAAAGCCAAGAGCGAGAGCGACGGGCGGGCACACACAACCAAGGACCAGCTACGGTGTCAACCTTGGGAGAGGTACGTAGTATAAGAGGCGGGCGGATCGGACGGGAAGAAATGGAAAGGAGGAGGAGAGGAGAGGAGAGGAGAAGAGAAGAGACGGACGAGACGGGACGAGTTGGGATGGGAGGAAGGGGCATAATAATAATAACACACTACCCAGGTATTAAGAAACGCGACAGCGACAGACACCCGTACACGACGGGACGAGAAAAAAAAGAGAGAAAAGGCGACCTGGGACTGACTTGTGAGAGATTGGAAAGGCAAGCGAGCGTCCAAAGTCGACCCTCGGGTGGAGACAGCGTTACTGCTAGCTGCTGCAGTGCTGCTACTAGGCCCCAATTATTGCTGCCAATTAATCCGCACCCTACAGGCTGGTGTCAACCTCCCTCATGCAGTTATGCTGTCCACTACTTTTTTCGAAAATTGCCTGCCCGCCCCTGGCCACCACCCGTCGTCAGAACTCTTTTTACCTTTTTTTTTTTTGGGCTCTGTTGCTCCGTCTTCTGCAGGAGATGCCACCCCCCTCCTGGTCCTCCTCCTTACCTACCCTGGTGTTGCTTTCCCCCTCCCACACTCCCACCCCCCGGACGCACTGGCCCGCCCAGCGCAAAAACAGAGTCGGATTTGCTAATTCTCGGCGGCCTTTATTAGCTGCAAGTCCCCATGCCCATGAGGCTTGCCGGGGGTTCCCGGACTGCCGTTGACGATGAACGAGCACACCACGATGAGACAGGGGGCCATGAGGTCTGAGCTCCCGCCTTTCACGAGCCCCAACCCCAGGGCGTGTGTGTTCCGTGGGAGCAAAATGAGCGTGGTGAAAGTGACGAACTGCCTGGGCCTTGCAGCCTTCATCCTCCTGTTTGTGGGTCTCTGTGTGTGTGTGTGTGTGTGTGTGTGTATGTGTGTGTGTGTGTGTGTGCCCTTCCTTGTGCAGAGAGTGTGGGAGCTTTGAAATTCTGTCACTGCTCCGCTTCTCTTCAAAATCCTGAATGCCCCTGATCCTGGATGCTGGGAGCCCGGGGTATTGCTGGGATACCAAGGTGCCGGGGCGCCCTGCGAGACACTCGAGCCCGCTGCCCGCAACTTCAAGAAATCGGAAGAACAGGGGTGCTCAAGAAGCTCCAGCCTCCTCCCCGAGTCCAGGGCCGGGTAATTATAGGTTTCGAAGTGTAGAGGGCAAGTACAATGCCGAAGCTTGCAAAATATCCAGATGCCGCTTTGCAGGATGCGTTTGTCGTGAACAGGTTGTGTTGTAGTGCGGTGAGCCATTGATGTCAGCGCTATCGCTTGATATCCAGCAAGAAGAAAAAAAACTTGTCCAGCAGGGCGCTGTGGTGTTCAATGAGGGCTTGCCGCAAATGCCCGGCATGCAGCCTTGACAGCTGGCTCTTACACGATCACGGTGGGCAAGTAGCCGGTAGAGGTGTGTGATGTGGCTCCATGGGTGTGGCATCAGGAGATGCTGGTACCTCCTTGGTCCGAGAGAGACTGCAACTCCAACGGGCCCCTGCACCTGGTGGTATTGACGCCGATGCCGAAACACCAGTCGAGAATCAGCCAGCGGCATGGCGAGATCAGGGACGAGTACCGGTGTTGACGTGAGCGGTGACATGCCATGACTACCGGTCAACCTTTCCGGAAAGGCCCTGTCTTTTTAGTTTTCAAGGCCCTGGCCGCCGAGGATACCTCACGAAACGCTTTTGTCTCTGTCCAGTCGGCATCGGAACAGCATAGCGGAAATATTTTTTATGCCTGCCTGCCGTTCACGGAGCTCGCTGGACTCGGGCATAGTCCCCCGCCTGCTGGTCGCTTGTCCCATGTCATGGGAAAGGGCACACTTGAATAGTTAATTTATATGTACCGAAAGAGCCGTCCGTGTTGCCCGAGAACGGACCTTATGTCTTTATCTGCCACATTATACCCGCCTTCCCAAGCAAATTAACTGTGAGGTTATGTCAACACACTTTTGAACCGGGAAGAAACTTGATCTGAGCATTGCTTAGCCAGATACCGTGCGTGCATCTGGACAACCCGGGATTGTACTGGCAGAACGGGTTTCCAGATCGGACTAGCGGGTCTGATCGACATCCGTCACAAGCTGCCGTCAGGGGAAGGTGTGTTGTGCGTCTTCTGGCCAGTGCTGGAGTTGGCATCTGTGCTTCTCCAACTACATGCTACCGGGAATGTGGAGTTTACGAGCCATTCTGTAAACAACCTCCAAACCGCACCTTCAATACATAGGTTGAGGATTCCCGGCAGTTGCGCGATAACGTATCAAGTCTCATTCAACCACGATGCTCTACCCTGCCGAGTCGGATCGTCAACGTTCTTCCGGTGGGCGTTGGGCTGACGCAACGAGCATATGTCAGATGAAATATTCCTTATGCTCCTCAGTGGCACAGGTTGTACAAGTTCACATTGGAGCTCGGCTCAACTGAAAAGTGGCGCCCTCGTGTTAGGTAGCCGGTACCTCATGGCGAAGTGTTCAATCTTGAGGAAACAACGGCGTCCGCTTCATCAGCCACGGGCAAGTGCAGAAGGGAGCATTGTCGATCTGTCCAAACGCCGTACCCCCGTTTGAAGACTGCTACCCTGGCGAGCCGAGACATGGGATAGCTCAGCGTAGCGTAGCAGGAGGTTGCTCGATGACCTGGAGAATGTAGCAGTGCCAAGCCGGAGCTCGACGTGCCATGTGCCCTCTGGATGAAGCGAAGGTGCTAGCGTCTACACTCGCAGGTTGATGACAAAAGTGTTGAGAAAATCTTCCAGCGGCGATTTTGAAAGCAGGTTCACGATGCTGAAGGATGGAAGGAGACGGCGCTCTATTGGTCCTTTGCAAGGATTCCCGGACTCATCCATGCCGCAAAGTGTGCCAGCAGGAAGAGGGCTCATGCATTGGGGCTGGCTGGCATGAACTAGACCCAACCTCGGGCTTGCTGTCGTGGTGGCTTTTTCGGTTTCGTCGCCGGTTTGGTGGACTGTTGGATGTGTTGCGTTAACGGTGCCAGTCTTTCGTTCCAGTGTCGTACTGCCAGCTGCGAGCCCTCTACGCTCTCGGTCCTGGTGTCTGATTGCCAGTGATGGCTTGCAGATGAACCAATCCAAACCAGGTTCTATCACCATCGGCCGTGCATGGTGTTCTCTGACAGCCACAGGTTTGGCTCGAACTAGCTGTGGGCAGAAGGCCGAGATTCAAGCCAATATCAAACAAACTGCTCGAGGGGACGTCAATTGCTTCAATGGCGATGCACCTGTGACTGGTGAGCACTCGGCCAAGTGGGTCGTGCCGGCGGCAGACGTCAGGACGCTCATCGATCCGATTCGTGCTCGGTGACACCATCATCATAGTGCCCTACGAGGTGTGCCAGTGTACAACGAAGGGCTCTTCGAATAATGATTCTTCTTAAGGGCTGCGGGAGGCGGTCTCGACGGTGCAGCCAGGGGCACCAATTACATCTTCTCATGGTTACAAATTAGCGGGGAGCGTGCTCAAAATGTAACGTGGGTGAGCTGTCGATATTCGCCGTATCATCATCCATGGCCAGACAGCACACACCGCCGCACAATGGCACGGCAGAGATGCGGAAAGCTTGGGGCAGAAAAGCCGAGTTGCACGAGATGGAGCTGAAATGATTGAGGATGGTCTATCGATCGTGTCTAGCCCGGCAAGAGAGGTTAGTGGTGGAAAAATGCCAGTTTGAGAGTGCCGATTAGAAAAAACGCACAAGCCAACCAACTGTTTCTGGGGTTCTTTCTCCCCTAACCCGTTAGTGGTCCATGCGCTGTCCGTAGCCCCGTGGGGTAAGGAGCACTGTCTCCACCTCATCGTCATCAGGGGACTTGCCTGCCCTTGCCCCTGGCATAAACATCGCTCCACATCTTCAACGAGTTATCAACTACCGGCCGGTCGTCTGTCCGCTCCGGCGTTCCGTGTTTGACGCTTCTCAAGAACAGGTCCGGAGAGGAAAACAAAGCACTAGAGGGCTCTTTGCCCGCTTACATTCTACTAGTATTCACTTCACCATCTTCGTCAACGGCCGACCCAGTCCCATCTGCACACCATTTCTCGGGCTGGCCCTTGGCATCTGGACCATGCGCTGCAACCCAGGACCTCCCATGGATGCAACCAGCCCCTCCGCGCGCTTCACAAGGGCGGGAATTCTTGCGCTGGACGAGACAAGACCACCCGGGCAGCTCCCGCTTCACCCCATCTTGGCGGCCTTATATTCCATCCATTATCAAATCTTCAGTCCAGTTTAGCCCACCATCGCTTCAGCCCGTCCCAGCTTCGTTTCGCTCTCCCCGCTCCAAGCTCGCAGGGAGCTTGCGAGGCCGGCCACCATCCACCATCCACCATGCTTTCTCTCATGTGCGGCGCGAAACATCATGCAGGACTTTCCCAGGTCGCTCCCGAGGCATCCTGCCGCTTCCCGTGTCGTCGCAGACCATCCTCAGTGTTTCTCGGTGTGTCGGCTGATCAAGAGTTGCCAGTAGCTCGCCTCTGCTGTGCCCTTCGCTTTCTTCATTTTTCCAGCTCCTCTTGCGGGGAAGCAGATACAAGTCTGGAAGGAACCGACCATGATGCCCCCCTACCTAGACCAGCACCGCCATACGGAGTACAGAGAACCAACCGCAATCTAAATCCCCACAAAGTCAGTGCCGAACCGATACACAGCCCTCCAATCACCGACCTCCTGGGTATTATCATCATTCTTTGCGCTCCTTGCGGCTGGGGCTGTCCGCCGGCAAGTACTTGTTGACTTATGACTTGGCGTGGGGTCTCAACACCAAGCTTGCCTGTCACGATGGCACCTCCCCAGACACAACGGGCCTTCCCCGAAGTCGTGTTACGCCCTCGAGGAGGACGCCGGGATAGCAGAGATGGTGCGACTGTAAACATGCAAGCCTCTCCCATGCCATCCTCCACGACCATGGGCACACCCTTGCCAGTGAACTTCCGGAGGAGTTTTTCCGATCTGCTACCAATAGGCTGCAACTACACCAGCCTTAGACTGATGCTAATAGTAACAGAAAACTTTGTTTAGATTGCTTTCTTGTGGAAACCAAGCTAGTTGTCCAAGGCTCATCAACTTGAGAAAAGCACATGACTGTCCGTAGCGCGTGTGACGGGCACAAGCACATGCAGTCATAATTATGTCTCTATGATAACAACTATACAAAGCCTTCTTATAGATAGAGCCCCCTTTCCCTGCCCCTTAATTGTGTGCTCTATTCATCCCCCTCGGCGGACAAAACGGCGGTGACACCCTTCCCCCCTTTTTCCTCCCCTTTCACTGTGTGTTGTTGTCTCTTTGAACTCCAAGGACTGCAATACGGTCCCTATTCGTCACCGCCGCTGCAACATGCCGCCCGTTGTAGAACCGGTGGTGGGTTTTCTTGGGTACAACCGTTGCATATACCTATCCCTGACGGATACTTCCACTTCCGCCGATTAGCGGTGGTCCGGCACACGAATGATAGCTGAGGGCTTTTTTATCTAGCGGTGTATATGTCGAAGGACTTTTTTTCTTTTTTTTCCTTCAGGCATTTCCCTGGTGTCGTGTCGTCACATGTTACCTAGCAGCACACGCGGAATCGTGGTTGCTTGTCGGAGCCAAGATCTAGATCATGGTGGGACTGAGATAGATCAAGTTCGGGGTGGTGATGAGGAAGAAGAGATAAGGAAGGGAGGGGGTAGGTATACACGGAAGATTCCGAGCGTCTATATGGGCTGGTCCCTGTTGTGGAATGGTTTTATCCCACGCTGTTGTACGAGGGGAGGAGGATTTTTGAATGATCTCATGTTTTTTCAAGGCATGGGACTTTTGTGATGAGAAGGGGGGTGATGCTTTCTCCGATGCTCCTCACTATCCTGCAACGAAAGAGCAAGGGAAGTTCCGTTCAACGGCTGTAACTCACCACAAGTCGGGTACGCGTGACAGGGCAGATTCCCATCGGATTGAGTTAGACCCAAGTCGTCAGTGCCTGCAATACTACTCTCTTTGGAGATCACAGAGGTTCATTGGGAAACGGCACAAGTGTGGTCATGATGTTACCCTTGGTTGGAGTATTCATGCCTGTCGAGCACCAGTTAGAGGGGCTACCAAGTTTATGATGTTTATGCAGAGCGTGTGTGTGTGTGTGTGGGTGGGTTTTGACTGGAGTGCGGAGAGGTTGGGTGGGATTGAAGGGCGTGACTTGTAGGGCTCTTGCAGTAGAGCATATTTCAACGACGCGCTCTCGGTGCTTGAAGTCGGGGTTTGCTTACTACTGTGATGACTGACCTGCGTGAGCTTGGGTGGCTGGTCAGGGGTAGTAGTAGGCCATGGGTAGCATCCTGTCTTTGGGGTAGACTTGGATGGAAAGTCAATTCCGTCACGAAGCCCCGAGACTGTTGACATTCAAGGTCAACTTGTCAATCAAATTGGTAGAGTCTCCCACACAACTTACTACTTCTCTTCTTTGAAGGGCGGTAACTGTGCCCATTAGGGGACTTATTCTGCTCTCAACAAACTTTCTACAGTACTATCACCTGTCTCTTCACGCCAGAGTAATCCCTCTTGACACGGTACTGCAAGTCCGAAAGAAACTCTTCATCGTAATAATTCTTGGGAAATTCTCTGCCAAACCCATGTACCTAGTCAAGTAAACTCCAGCTCAGAAATGACACTAGGTTAGGTAACAGGCAGTCTAGTCGAATTCATACATTGATAGACATTCCTAGCCTGTGCTTGAACAGTCAACATGGCGATGAATGAGCATGTTGTCTCCTTAGGTAAATCTCAACGCCCAGTCAGTGAAGCCTAGCATCATCACAAAATCAAGTTGAAGTCAACAAACATTCCAACACGCCCAGTCAACCCATCCAACTATACCCGAGAGAGATACTCCATCACCCCGTCAAGTTCACAATAGACACCAAAACCCATCTCCTTCACGTCCCAAACACCAAACCAATATTCCCCCCCCTCAAGTCCGAGAGCCAAGAACTCTCCCAACCCAACAACAGAAGTATCATACCTCAGCCCGGCTTCCCCCACAAGAACAATCGAACACGACAGAAATCTTCCCACCTTTGCTACCACCCACCACCCCCGGACCCCAAAAAGCTATCGAAACCGTGTCCCATGGGTCAGCTTTCTTTGGTTTCGGCAGGTGCCTAACTAAGCCAATGTACTTATATCTGCTGCACCCTTGGAGCGGAAAAGCCCCCAAGTCTGGTACAGAGGTAAGTAGAGACGGCACACGGCACAGACGGCACAGGTCACGGACGGAAGAATTCTGGACCCAATGTGCTTACTCGAAGGTGGTTGGATACTAACAGCCAGAGTTTGGATCTGGGGGTCGTTGAACGTGCCGTTTTACGTGGGGGTGCATACATACATACATATAGGTAGGTTGTTGATCTCGGTTGTTGATATCCGCCCCCCTTTCCACCAAAGCCCCATACCTACCTATACCTACCTGCCCTCGTAAAAAATCACAAGTGGATATACACCTCCCTGATAACTTGCAAAAGAAGAGTGGATATCCCCTTTCTAAGCAAGCAGGTCAAAATACCCCCAAGAACCACAAAGAACCCGAGCAAGGAATGCTAAAGTATTTCTGTTCTCTTTAATTCTCTGCTGTGATGAATAAACCAGGGGTTCGCATACCAACCCCCAAACCCAATCTCTACCCCCTCCAACCCGGCCCCCCATCTTCCTCATCCCATAAGGCAGAATCCGCTATCAATATTCATACCATACAAAACCCATTTCATAAATCTATCGCCATATCCCCCTCCCCGAAAAAGAACTAATGAATCATCACCCCACCCCTACTCCTCCCGTCCCTCCTATACCCCGGAACCGACGGCCTCATCATCCGATCGTCACCAGAATGCATATCCATCATGATATTGTCATACGACTGCATAATCTTGAACCCCTCCGAGTCCTTGAACACAGACGTGTACAAATCCCCCACCGCGCTCGCCAGAGTCTCAATCGCCTGAATGCGATCAGCGTCGCCCTTGGACTCAATCTCAAACGTGCCAGCGTGCTCATCAATCCGGCCCTGTACCCTGCCGTCAACAATAAGGTAGCTGACAATATCCTGGACCTCCTCTTCTCCAATCTGCAGCTGCTTGGCGATCCAGCTCAACCGCATGCGAGTGTACGGGGCAATAAGCTTAAGAACGCCCTTGGTCCGCATGTTACGCGTAACCTCGTCGATGTTCTCAGCAATAAAAGGGTCCGCAAGCAGGTCCGTATTCTTCTGGAGCACGTCCTCGTACTTGTAAATGTCATCCCGTTGATATGCATCCACCAGGTCCGTCATGGCGGCGATGCGAGGGTCGTTCTTGTACGGCTTGGTCTCCTGACTGTCAAAGGGGTTGATGTCCGACTTCATGAGCATGGTTGTCAACAGCAAGTATTTGAGCACCTGGATCCGCCTAAGATCGCCGGCCTCGTCGTAGTTGCGGAAAGCTTCGAAAAAGTCGCTCTGGGCCTCTTTCCAGTTCTCCTCGCTCATGTGCATTTTGCCGCCGCACTCGCGGATGATGCCCTGAATCTTGGGATGAGGTACTGCCGACTTGACTTTCAGCGCCTTGTTGTAGAGAATCTTGAGCTGGTTGTTGTTGCGCATCGCCGAGTACATCTGAATCTCCAGGGCGTAGATCTCGAGAGAATATGTGCCTTTGCTGGGGTCGTCAGTTCCGTCCTCCTTCTGGCAAGCCTTGTGAAGCTCCTTGATCTTCCGGGTCATGGCGTGGTAGTCCTTTCGATCGAGCAGTAGCCTGGCGAGCTTGATGTTGGTCTTGAGCCATAGACGCTCGTTGTTGGTGTTCTGGAAGCATTTGAGGGTTTCGGAGTAGAATTGCTCGATGAACTTGACCGCTGCCGGGTTGTCGGCTCCTTTCTCGACATAGTTGAGCATATTGTCGATCGACTTCTCTGAGTAGTTTCTGGTGACGGACGATTTGACATATGTGAGGAGCTCCTTGTAGTGATCAAGAGCCTAGATGGAAGCCGGTCAGCATGTGTCGACCCATCTGTTCCGGATATTCACGATGCACTCACCTGTTGATACCGGCCGAGCTTAAACTCCAGCTTGATGGCTTGCTTGAGGCCTTTGAAACCCCATTCTCCCTTCTCTGGTTCTAGCGATGGAATACTGAGAAACTCCGTGATGGCCTCTTCGGGATCGCTCGTCTTGGTCTGTTTCGCATTGTAGTATTTGTTCTCGATGTCGACATCACCGCTGTCCTCCTCCTCCTCGTCTTCGTAGTCGAAGTCGTAGTCCTCATCAGAGGCTTGCATGAAATCGTCGTCAGACATGATGATGACTGAGTCGTTTACCAATCGATCTGGTACCTAATTGGTGTGGCGATGATGTGGTGTCGCGAGTTTGGGAGCTCCGAAAATCGAGAGTTGTTGTTTCCAGGATAGCTCCCCGCTGGAGGTTGTTCCAGGCAGTTGTGGTAAGGCTGAAGGTGATTGGGATGGTGGGGATCTGGTTGCCAAGTGTGGGGTAGTGCTGTGGGCCGCGCAAGGGTACGAGCCGGTTCCCGCTATTTGCATATTATCTCATGGGAAACAATTTCGAGACATGTGCAAAACATGTATTGATAGATGCTTGGGGCTACTCTTCCAAGTCGGAAAGCAACAGGTCCCCTTACTTTCTCTGACTACCCAAATAGTAGCTCAGAGTCCAAGTGCCTTTTCTTTGGTTATTTTCGCCTTAAGCAAGAGATCCAATGTAGGCAGGAAAATGGAGACTACGACAAAGCAAAGGGCTGAAATGATATTCAGCAGACCTCTTGAGCATATTTAAAGATCCTCAAAAGTTTGCTCGCTATTCCAAGACACCTCTCTGCTATCTTAAGTGGTCGATTGATCATTCTTTCAAATTGCTAACACGGTTGAGAAAGTTTGAAATGTTGGCCTCGAAACGCGCAAGTGACATGTAATTCACTGGGTAAGCGCCAGGGTTAGGGTCCAGCATTCATGTGGCACTTGGGCCCGAAAGCTAAGACCCCTGCATCCATGCTAGCCCCACAATTAATTGCGGTCGCAAAACACCTATCACTTTCGCCTCTTCTCTGCTCACTGCGTTTTGTTTCCACCAACAACATTTCCATCACCCACTTCAACGCAGCGTGAGAGCATCAACAATACCGACAAGATGGGTTCCGGAGACCTTAACATGAAAAAGAGCTGGCATCCCCAGCGGTCAGCCAATCTCGCAGCCACTCAAAAGGCCGAAGCCGAAGCGATTGCCGAACGCAAGAAGCTCCAACAGCGACTCCAGGAGATTGAAGAGGAGCGAAAAAAGGAGGAGATTCAAAAGGCGCTCGAGGCGGCAGGCGGCAAGCGCAAAATTGATCGCGTCGAATGGATGTACGCTGGGCCGACTGGGCAGGCTGGAGATGCCGCGGAAAACGAGGCCTACCTGCTGGGGAAGCGCCGCATCGACAAACTGCTTCAGGATAACGAGGTGAAGAAGCTCTCGAAGCAGTCTGCGATCGAGGATGTTGCTGCGACCCCAGCTATCGCTAACCCTCGAGATGTCGCCGCAAAGATTAGGGAGGACCCACTGCTGGCGATTAAGAGACAGGAACAAGAGGCATATGAAAAGATGATGAACGACCCAGTCAAGAGGAGGCAAATTTTCGCGTCGATGGGTATCGAAGACCCCCAGTCATCCAAGAGCAAGGAAGAGAGGAGGCACAAGCATCGCTCCCACCATCACCGATCACACCGTCACCGTGACGACGACAAAGATGGCGAGAGGCGTTCCCGACGGCACAGGTCAGAATCCAGGGACAGATCCAGGAGTCCTCGACGACGCGACTCTCGCGATGATGATCGACGAAGACGCAGAAGAGACTCACCCGAGCGCCGCGGTAAAGACAGAATAGACAGCCGCGACAGAAGAGACAGCCGTGATAGGAGAGACAGTCGCGACAGGCGGGAGAGCCGTGATGGAAGGGATAGCCGCGATAGGAGAGACAACTATGAAAGACGAGACAACCGCGGCAGACGAGAGAATGACGAGAGACGGGACAGGCCTCGCCGGGATTTTGAAGATCGCAGTGGCAACCAGGACCGCAGCGCGCAGGAGGAGGAGCGTGCGCGTAAGCTTGCCGCCATGCAAGAGGCGGCTACCGACCTGGACAAAACCCGCCAAGAGAGGCTTGCTGCCATCGAGGCTCGAGAGCGGGCAGAAAAGGAGGCAGAGGACTTGGCTCGTCAGCGCAACAAGAGATACGGTGGTGATGCTGGGTTTGCCAACAAACTTCACAGCAGAGCGGCCGAGATGAAGATTGCAGACCGGGCGGAGCGACGGTAACAGGTTTTAGGTCTCATGGGACAAGGATGTAAGGTTATGGAGTGGTATTCGGCATAAGGAAGCATGTTTATGGTTTTAAAATACATTTGATACCCGGAGAACAGGTCAGTTCTCGCAAAGATGGTAGTTGGGTAGGAGGAAGGAGAAGTTTGTAAGGATATATCCTCGTCGGCCGCAGAAGTCTGTTCATTTAAGATACAAGGTTCATCGTTGGTGGAAGCCCGCGTCAAGAATGATACCCTGGTTTTAGTATCGAGAACAACTATACCGCCAAGGTCAGGACTGATTTGGCACAAGGTGAACTGATCATAGGGCGGGAGACTTTTTGTTGAAACTTCCAGGTGGGTTATCTGTCGAACTGAATGCCGTCTGCATGTGAAGAGGAGAGGGATGCCGAGAGCTGAGCAAGTTATAGGCAATCGATATCTGTCTTTATTGATGCAAGTTCACTGCCTGGCGGGAATCTAGACGGGAAGGTGGTGGGGTGGCGGGAGGGTGTCATCGAGCTGTTAGTTCTAAGGGAATACTCATCATGGAAGGTGAGTGGTGAGAGTAAGCAGTTAGCACGATACATTCTAGCCGACTGAAGGGATTTCGAAGGGTTACCCAATCGGACAAGCACAGGATACTAACACAACGTATGTCAGGTAGTTATGCTTTAAAGACAATTTCTGGATCTTAAGATATCGCATTCTGATGCTCAGGAGAGCCCTACCACCAAAATCCGCCCCCCCGACGTTTATAAATTCGCCGGCAGGCCCTAGTGAGCGCTAACACTGAACCGAGTCGCGCCCCACAGCCACAGCGCTACCCCCCATTTCCCAAATCCGCACCGTGCCCTTCATGGTCTGGAACTGGCAAGCTGGAAAGCCGCTAATACTTGGCTATGAACCTCGAATATCCACTGTGGGCAGGGGCGGGTCGTCACTGGTGCGCTGCCAATCTCGCTGACTTCATCTCCGGCTTCAATTTCACCCCCCGGATCTATCTTGGAGCCTCCCACGTTCCCAAGTCCCTTCCGCTCATTTTCTGATTCTGACCTCCAAACCGGCGTCGCGCATTCTGTACCGAGTAACACACATTCGCTCACTGCCGCCGCCCAAACCACCGCCGTCTTCTGCACGCGCCTGCTCGAGTACTTTGTTCAATTGACACACACTTGACCCGCCCGCCGTCCGTCACCTGCCTGCCTGCAACTTCTGGTGTCCCAAACCTTCGTCCACTGCTTTTTTACTTTTTCAAACTACTATTTTATCTCGCCCCGACAGTTCGGATCGATCCACAGTCCGACGTCCATCGCAAAGAAACCGAATTCAATAGAGATAGTACCACTCGCGCGCGCAACGAACAACGCACCTTGCTTTTGCTACTGCCACTGTCTTTGCCATAGCCCACGCGCTGCCGTCCCAACTCACCACCAGGTCCATCCGCATACCGAAGCAAGTATCCCATTTCCTGTCTCGCCCACACTCGCACAATGCCTTGCGGTCTCGGGGGTTCCAAAACAGTGCAGCGCAAGCTCGTCTTGCTGTAAGTTGCCCCGATTGGTCTTGTGGAGCTCCTCGGAGCTTTCACCATGATGTCTGTGCAGTCCATCTAACCTTGGTCCCGAAACAGCGGCGACGGTGCTTGCGGAAAGACATCGTTGCTCAATGTCTTCACCAGAGGGTATGTTGTTGTCTGCGCAATGTTGCCGCCCCTATCTTGACGAGCAATATACTCAACTTTGACCCACAGCTACTTCCCAACGGTCTACGAGCCGACGGTTTTCGAAAACTACGTCCATGGTGCGTTTTTGGAGGAACATCCAATGAGGAGAGTCAAAGGCTCTGGGACTTGCGCTAACTGGGAGGTTGATAGATATTTTTGTTGACAATGTTCACATTGAGCTTTCACTGTGGGACACAGCCGGCCAAGAAGAATTCGACAGACTACGAAGTCTTTCCTACGGTATATCCCACAGCCACACGTCGTACGTCATTAGTTGACGGTGTACTGACAATAAGCCCAGATGACACCGATTTGATCATGCTTTGCTACTCGGTCGATAGCAAAGATTCGCTTGAAAACGTCGAGAGCAAATGGGTGGGCGAGATCGCCGATAATTGCCCAGGGGTGAAGCTTGTGCTGGTCGCGCTAAAGTGCGATCTCCGCGAAGGGAACGAGGAAGAGGATGGTGCCAACGAGGACGGCAACCCACGAGAAAAGAAGCCTATGATCAACTACGACCAAGGACTCGAGGTTGCGCGCCGAATCCACGCCCTCCGGTATCTCGAGTGTTCGGCCATGCGCAATAGGGGAGTTAACGAGGCCTTCACCGAAGCCGCGCGGGTTGCCTTGTCTGTGAAGAAGGAACGAGACGAGTCCAAGTGCACCGTCATGTAACGCACTCTCTCGGCCAGTCAACCACCCACGAGGATCGGCCGGGCACACGAATGCCCATGCTTCATATCACGACCATATCATCACAGCAACACCGGGCGTTGGTCCTTTTATGGTGTTCTCAACAGACCAATTTTGTTTTTCGGTATCATTCTTCCGCAGATGTTTTTTGGGTTAAAGAATCCAGACGACTCCGGCGCTTCACGAGGCAGTTTCATTTGTATTGTACATATATATATTTTTTTTTCCATCGGGTCCGCAAAACGACGAGAGGGGTATGTGATCACGTACTGCTCAACACCAGTCTGGGGTTCTCAAACATCCAGATAAGACGCAGAAGAATCTGGGGGCGAGTCATTTGGAGGTGGAAAAGGCACATGTCGGGGTGGTTTTTGGGAGATCAAGAGGTTGCCGTGTTGCGAGGGGCTTGAGGTTTCGCTTCTGTAAAATGTTTTTAATCTGTCAAATTGTTCTGAGGCGTGTTTTTTTGTTGCTCATTGTGTCCTGCGAATCGAGAAGAGGCTGCTGCCATAAAGGAGTAGATCGTTATCGAGTTTGCAGCTATACACATGACCATATCGGATACACCCTGTGCGAATGGTCTTTTCAGTTCGACGATGCAATTGTTTGGCTTTTCAGCACTGATAACGCACAGCGATGATCTTGAGCTCATCATTGGTTCCCAACTCTGGGAACAAGAGTGAGAGATAGGGCAGGCTGAGGCAACATCTCCGACACCTCTCTCCTTTTCCCCGCGGAGGTGAGTGGAAGTCGGCCCCTAATCGGAGCAAGCGAACGCGGGGTGGCGATAAGGCGATAAGATGGGGGGTACCCCCTGAAATTCGGAACTCGTGAAATGGCGTCAGCGGCCGCTAACCGTGCTAAGAGGCAGCTTCTCCGCCAAAACAGAAAGAATTTATTCGTGTAAGTCGAGAAGCGAGGCCTGTGACTGGCTGGTTTGCCTCTGAGGCTTCGCGTGCTTCATGGGCTTACATAAAGAGTTTGAGTATCCCACGCATGATGGGAAGAGTCACCAGCGGAGATTCAAAAGATATTTGTAGAGTTGCAGCCGGGGACAGCTTGACATTGGACAGGGAGGTGTAATTCTCGGAGGCTTGAACGGTTCCTGAGACGGGATACTGGGGATGCTTAAAAAGATATCTCTCGACCCGGCTTTGTTCTTGACCACAGCACTGTTTTTCTTTTTTTCTTCTCTTTTGAGTCAAACAAGCTCCAACTTTTGCTCCTGAGTTGAAGGCTATACTTGAGTCTCTTATCATCACACGATACTTTCTATATGGTTGTCATCTCAGTTGACAGCCTCACCAGCAGCTGAACTCATCATCCCCGCTGGTGTCGGATCATCAACACCTTCGCAAACTTCACAATGGCCGCCAACCCACCATTACCCTCACCAACACCAATCTCCCTCCTCACAGCCCAACACTCAACAGGCCACACCCACCTCATCATCGGCTCCAACCCCCTCGCCGCCTCCCGAGCAACCCACTCTCTTTCTGCTGGCGCGAAGCCAATCCTCGTCTCCCCCACCCCCCCAGAAGAACTTCACTACACCCTCACCCAATACATCACCTCGGGCCAGCTAACCCACCTCTCCCGTCCCTTTGAGTCAACCGACCTCTTCACCCTCGGCCGCGAAGAAGTCGACAACGTAGTCGACGCAGTCTTCATCACCCTCTCCCCAAAGGACCCCTCAGTCCCTCAAATCTCAACCCTCTGCAAAAAGAACCGCATCCCCGTCAACGTCGTCGACTGCCCTTCACTATGCAGTTTTTCTCTTCTCTCCACCCACCTCGACGGTCCTCTGCAAATAGGCGTCACCACCAACGGCCGGGGCTGCAAGCTCGCTTCTAGGATAAGACGAGAAATCGCCGCCAGCCTGCCCCAAGGTCTCGGGAGCGCGGTCGCCAGGTTGGGCGATGTCAGGAGGAGGATCATCGCCGAGGATAAATCCTCTTCTTCTTCTGGGTTGGACTCGGAAGGTCTAGACGACAGCGTCGACCAAACCTCTGATTTCAACAAGCTCGTCCTCGAGGGCAAAGAGAGCGAAGAGGAGCAGAAGACTAGGAGGATGAGGTGGCTGAGCCAAGTGTGCGAGTACTGGCCTCTGAGACGGCTGGCGGCGATAAGTGAGGAGGAGATACTGGAGGGGGTTCTCAACTCGTACCACCAGTCACAGCAACAAAAACCATCACTGACTGGTGGTGATGGGCCAAGAGATAAAATCGGGAGGGTCATCCTCGCGGGAAGCGGGCCGGGGCATCCCGATTTGTTGACGAGGGCGACGTACAAGGCGATTCAATCCGCTGATTTGATCCTGGCCGATAAACTTGTTCCTGCCGGGGTGTTGGATCTGATTCCCCGCCGGACACCGGTTAGCATCGCGAAGAAGTTTCCCGGGAATGCGGACAGGGCACAGGAGGAGTTCCTCGAGCAGGCTTTGGCTGGGGTGAAGGAGGGGAAGACAGTCCTCAGACTGAAACAAGGGGATCCGTTTATTTATGGACGGGGAGGGGAGGAGGTGCAGTATTTCAGACAGCACGGGCTCGGTGACAGGGTGGTGGTTCTACCTGGGATAACGAGCAGCTTGTCGGCGCCGCTGTTCGCGGGTGTGCCGCCTACGCAGAGGGACGTGGCGGATCAGGTGCTGGTCTGCACCGGGACGGGCAAGAAGGGGAAGGCGCCGGTGCCGCCTGAGTTTGTGGAGAGCAGGACGGTGGTGTTCTTGATGGCGCTGCATAGGATCACTGGGCTGGTTGCTGAGCTGACGGAGTATCTTCCTGAGGAGCAGGAGGCTGCGGAGGTGAAGGGGAGGAGGAAGTTGTGGCCGGTTGATACGCCGTGTGCCGTGATTGAGAGGGCGAGTTGTCCTGATCAGAGGGTTATCAGGACCACGCTGAAGAGGGTGGCGGAGGCGATTGAGCAGGAGGGGAGCAGGCCGCCTGGGTTGTTGGTTGTGGGGAGGGCGTGTGAGGTCTTGTATACACCTGAGAAGGGGAGGTCGTGGCTGGTGGAGGATGGGTTCGAGGGGCTTGATTTGGAATTTGGGAATGATTTTGCGGCTGGTGCGCTCGGTGTTGCTGGGTTGGCATAAACAGGGGCCTGAAGAGAGATGCTTTTGGCTATACTGTAGATATTTGAAGCCACAACTGGCGATACCAAACACACACCAACACATTATTTAATAGCATGAACACCACAAAAATGTAAAACACCATGAACATATTCGTTCTGCCGCCATGAGTAGCAAAAATAACCCTCAAATGTAAATAACAACTCCTCCGGGAAGGCTCGAACTTCCAACCTCCTGATTAACAGTCAGACGCGCTAGCCAATTGCGCCACAGAGGATGTTGATGTTGTGGTAGGTGGAGTATGGCCTCAAGATAGCGGCATCCTGGCTGAATTTGTGTTACACTCTCTGGACTTCTGTCTTGTTCACCTTCTTCGACGATGCATCAGAGTCCTGTCCACCATTCACTTACACCAGGGCTGAAGTCTGAATATCTGAACCGCGGATCGCGCAAAAACCGCGAGTCTTTCTTCCATGTCTCAAGTGACTTCTCAGATCCGCGCCCTCGTCTGCTCTGCTACTGTATGTCTCACACCTAATCCAGCGTCCAGCTCAACGTCACGCCACGTACTACTTCCAAACCTCATGATAAGACCGATGATGGGATGACAGTTGGAAGCACAAGAAGTGAGGTCTCCGGCATCTTGTGGTTTGCAGGCTTTGACAGGCAGCACAGAAGCTTTCAGAATATTCCTTCAAGGAATACGCATCTCGGCGCGGTGCATTCGGAACGCGGTTCCCAATGGGTTTGCAAAAAGATGAGCTGGATCGGATGACGTTGCCCAAGAATTCCTTTTACAAAATCGTGGGGTCCTTTGATCGACGCCAGCTGGTGCGGGGCTTTATCTGTGGGTTGTGATTGGTTAGAAACAAAAGTCAAGGGGTGTGCCGCTAAGAAAGTTGATGGAGCGCATGCGTCATTCCATGCAAAAGAAGTCCCCACATCAGCTTCGTCCTTTCATCCCATATCACGAGCAATGTGTGAAAGCTCTCACCAATGCTTTGGCTTTTTGCTGGCAAAGATGATTGACACGCAGAGCTTGGGCTGATATTAGTCATGGCCGTGAATGCTCACCTGATATCAACTGGCTCTTCTGGCTGTGACGGGAGCAAAAAGAAGCATGATCCCCACTCCCCGCCCCGTTACTCCCATCGTCACTACCAATTGCTTGCTATATCCCACCGGTCTTTCTCCCGGTTGCTCTCATTTTCTCTGTTCACTTACATACCTAACCAATTATCAAACTCACTCATATACATACCTAGAGACCTCCTCTGCTCATACTGTTTGCCGTATCCTTATGCTTTAATCTCTAATCCTGCTCTCACACCTGAGTCGCACACGAGCTTCCTACCTAGTAGCTTCACATTCCTCACACCGTCCCTTGCTGCAACCACTTAACACGAAAACCCTCCCCCTCAAGGTACGCGACTCTCATTTTCTACCCAAAATCCCCACACATATACAACGTTGCGCGCCCATCCATCCGATCACGTATCCGATCCGATCTGATCCCGTGTGGTGCCCATCTCATATCCACCACCAAAAAAGTTGTGACGCAACGGGTTTCCTGACTCGGGGGGGGCCTTCTCTTTGTCACTTGTCCCAGTAGTGGTACGCTACCCCTCAAGCCGTCAAGTACAACGTCGACGTTTTGAACCCTTCTTTTCTTTCCACTCCTTTGGGTCATTCATTCAAGTCGCGACATATTTCTTCTTTCTTTCACCATTCCGACACATCAACTCACAGTCCTATCACAACCACCAACCAACACTGGTCACGCCATTAACTATTCAAAATGGCAGCAGGCCGTAAGTCTTCCTTCCCACCACCGCCCCAACAATCATCACTAATTTTCCCCTCCCAGGCCTCATCTCCCTCCTAGCCACCCTCTTCCTCTCCGTCTCCCTCCTTCTTCTTTGGTTCACCCTCCTCTCAGGCATAACCTCCACCTCCCCCCTCCGCCAAACCTACTTCCTCCGCGCCGACACATCCGGCATAACCGGCGCCCGGGGCATATCTCAGTGGACATATTTCCGCATCTGCGGGATAGACAACACCGACTGCGGCCCTGCCCGTCCCGGGTTACCGTTGGGTGACGCCTGGGCTACTGATGCGGACAATGTGCCCCAGGAACTGATTGGGAGTTATGGAGGCGGCACGACGAGCTACCAGTATTGGTACCTGTGGCGATTTGGCTGGGTTTTCTATCTCATCGCCTTGTTCTTTATGACTTGCGCGTTTTTGGGGAGCTGGCTGGCTTGTCTGGGACGGTTGGGGGCTGGGTTGATTGCGACGGTTAGCAGTGTGGGGTTGTTGTTTCTGAGTGTGGCTGTGGCGCTGATGACGTGAGTTTTCATTCTTTTGATGATACTGTATGCGCATGAGAGGAAAAGCTAACGGATATTATCTATAGGGCTACTTTTGTCAAGACACGTAACGCGTTTATTGCTGATGGGAGGAATGCTGATTTGGGGGCGTACGGGTTTGGGTTCAGCTGGGGAAGCTGGGCGGCCATGTTTATTGCTACGGTTCTGTACTGCGTTGCTAGGAGGGGGCACGCGAGTGACGGGGTGGGGAGGACGAACAAGAGGTGGTCGGGCAGCACCTTTGGCCGTAGGAAGAGCTCGGGGACGGCCGGGTCGAGGAGGAGTTGGGATGGGAGGAGAGTTAAAGATGAGTATGCTTAAGTCTTTCTTTTTTTCTTTTCAGTCGTCGTCGATTTGGGGGAATGAAGAGCGATGAGAAGATATACCATTTTGAGAAGGGAGGGGTGTGGCGGGATATGAAAATGAATGATCAAGTTTGCTATTGGCGAAGAAAGCGATCAGGTGGTTCTTTGGACAGGTGAGAATTCTGTATGATTAGTGTCGGTAGTCTGATAGTGGAAAGAAAAAAAAGGTTAAAGTCACATTGAGGCACCAGAGGTACAAATGATTGAAACGGGATGAAAACTGTTTTTGCTTGCTGGCCTTGTTTACTGACGCTCATCATATCTTATCTACCATCTAACAAGATAGGTAGACGCGTGCCAAATCTTCAAATCTGCAAATCATCCCTTCATCTTATCGTAAACTGAGCAGCTTTTTTTATTCTGAGCCAGCAGCCGGTGTGGCATCTGGATCTTCAAAGAGCACAAGTACTGTACCGGCCTTGCAGATATCCTATCGACAAATATTAGCATGAGCTTGTTCATGATACCAGAGAGGGACAGGGTATGTATGACTTACGCCTTCCTTATGCGCCAGCTTCTTGACTGTGCCCTTCTGTGGTGATCGAATAACAGTCTCCATCTTCATGGACTCGATGCTATTCACCCTTGTATCAGCCAACCGATCGCAACTCAAAAGAATCAGAAGACTTACACAACCAACGGAGCACCCTTCTCAACCTCTTGTCCTTCCGAGACCTCGTTCCTCAAAATCTTGCAAGGCATAGGTGCCACCACGCTCGCGGCAGCCTCCTTCAGACCAAGCGCCTTCTCAAACCATCCCGGCTGCACAAGAGTAAGCTCCGTCTTTTCACCGAGCTGGAAGACGGCCAACTTCTCCGGGGCGCCGGGGTCCTGAACAAGTGTTGTTTCGACACGAGCCCGAGGGAAGAAGGTTGTCAGTTGTGACTTGTGCGAAGCAGCCACCGCCGACCCGGGTTCGGAGATGATATTCTCGTAGACAACTGGCGAAGCGGTTGAGGCGTCTGTGCTTCTGGAAACAGAAACGTTGTAAAGGGAGTGGCCCCGCTGGGTAACTTCCACTTGGACAACTTCAGGAGCCTCATCTGAGGTTTCGGCAGCTGCGTCGTCTCGCTTGACCTGGAAGGCGAATTTCCTCGACCCTTGAGTGGCAGCTTCGCCGAACCCAAGGGTCTCACCGTGAGGTCCTGATGTTGTCTTTTTGGTTTGGGAGGTAAACAGGCCGAGAGCGGTCTGGGCGAAGACCTCGTCTGAGACGTGTTTCCGCTCAAAGAGTTCGTCTTTCCACTTCTCGATGAAGCCTGTCTCGACGTCACCTTCCACAAATGCCTGGCTTCGGCAGAGACGCTTGAGAAACTCAATGTTTGTGCTCAGACCGACGACTTCGTATTCCTGCAAAGCAAGCTCGAGCTTGCGGATGGCAGTCTCTCGATCGCGGCCGCGGACAATCAGCTTGGCAATCATACCGTCGTATGCCTCGGAAACGGTGTCACCCTCGACGAAACCAGCATCGATTCTGATATCCTCGCTGACCTTGGGCGTAATCAGGTGAACCAGCTTGCCGGAGTCGGGGAAGAAGCCCTTGTCGGGGTTCTCGGCGTAGATACGGGCCTCGATAGCCGCACCACGCTCATGGATCCGCGCCTCGATCTCGTCCTGGGTCAAGGGGAGTCTCTCGCCAGCAGCAACCCGGAACTGCCACTCGACGAGATCTGTGCCGGTGACCATCTCACTGACAGGGTGCTCGACCTGCAACCTCGTGTTCATCTCCATGAAATAAAACTTCCCAGTATCTTTGTCGAGAATAAACTCAACCGTTCCCGCCCCAACATAGTCCACCGCCAACGCCGCCTTCCTCGCCTTATCCCACAAATCATGCCTCGTCGCATCATCCAACACCGGCGCCGGGCTCTCCTCCAAAATCTTCTGATGTCTCCTCTGCACACTGCAATCTCTCTCGCCCAGCGCCACGCAGTTCCCATACCTATCCGCAAACACCTGCACCTCCACATGCCTCGGCCTCACGACATACTTCTCCACAAGCATCACCTCCCCACCGTCGCCAAAACTCGCCCTCGCCTCCTGCCTAGCACTGGCAATCTGCGCCTCAAACTCCTCATCCTTGAGGACAATTCTCATGCCCTTTCCACCACCACCCTTGACACTCTTCAACAGCACCGGGTACCCAATCTCCCTCGCGTGTCCCCTCAGCTCCTCTACGCTCTGTTCCGGCCCATGATACCCCGGAACACAAGGCACACCAGCTGCATTCATGATGATCTTACTCCTCGCCTTATCACCCATATCCAACATGGCCTTTGGCGGCGGCCCAACAAACACTATCCCCGCATCCTCACACGCCTGGGCAAAAGTGGGGTTCTCACTTAGGAAGCCGTAACCAGGGTGAAGAGCCTCGATGCCGTGCTTCTTGGCCAATTCGATAATCTGCGGCCCGTTGAGGTAGCCCTTTGTGTTTGGCCCCAAGGCAAGGGAGTTGGGAGTGCACTTGGCGTGCTGGGAGGAGGCGTCGATGTCGGTGTAGAGGGTTGTGGTGCGGATGCCCATGGAAGAGGCGGTGCGGGCGATGCGGAGGGCGATTTCGCCGCGGTTGGCGATGAGGAGGGACTTGATGGGTGTGATGCTTGTCACGTCGTTGGAGGCCGAGGGGTGGGTTGATATTGGTGCGGAAAAGATTCTGGGAGGAGCTGGGAGGGAGGTTGGTGGGCGTATCGCCCGGAGACGGTGGGAGTTGCGTTTGAGGGAGCGCATGATCAGATTCAAGGGGACAAGAAGATATGCGCAAGGAGGTTCAATGGATGGGTTTGGGTATCACATAGTTTGGGAAGAAGGAGAAAAAAAAGGAAGATCGCAATGGCATTCCTGCCGACTTTGTGGAAGGGAGGTGATAGTCCCGAGGTCAACTGGATGCAGGGCCGAAGGTAGCCGTTCCCCTCCCCTTGCCAGCCAAGCCCCTGATCGCTGCGGCTTTGCGCTCGTGACCTGGGCTAGTTAATCTGAATTGGGAATGTGGTTGTGAATTGCTGTTATTTGTCCAGTTGGTCTAGATAACCTCATTAATTTTCGCTGTTTGCTGATGTTTTGCTGGGAGCTCCAACAACGGACTGAAGTTAAGTCTGGAAAACGGCTTCCCCAAATGCCCCAGATAGAACAACGTCATCACTGCAACGCAGTGACCAGGGGTCTGGGCCTTTCCCCCGCATTAGTCATCCCCAGCTGGGGTATACAGGCCGCTGGAGCTTCCTCACCCCACCCATCTCGACGACGGAAGATCTTGACACATCCAAGGACACCATTGACCGTGGGCAATTTCTTTGTATAAGCTGATACTTGGCTCTCGCAACTCACCAGCCTTACAGGCTCTTCAGTGTAATCACAGGCCCCATCAAATACAAACCATCCCTATACTCGATCGACAATGGAACAGCAAATACCCCTCTCCCACGAAGCCTCGGCCGGCGACACCAACATGCGCATCACCAACTCCCTCCCAACAGAAGTAGTCCAATGCCTCGAAAACGCCCGCTTCCTCCACCTGGCCACCTGCCACGACAACGTCCCCCACGTCTCCCTCATGAACTACACCTACCTCCCCTCCTCCCCCTACGGCAACAACCTCCCCGAAATCGTCATGACCACCAACCCCGCCTCCAAAAAGATGAACAACCTCGCCGCCAACCCCAACGTTTCCCTCCTCGTCCATGACTGTAAGCCTTCCTTCTCCCCTTCTTTTCCCCCATTTTGCTAACCTTGTCTCGAAAGGGGTATCCCACCGCCCAACCACAAGCTCCCAATCCCGCCGCCTCTCCAACGGCCACTCCCCCGCCCGCGCCGATCCCCCCTCCTCCCTCGCAGCCCTCCTCTTCAACCTCAACACCTCGGCCGTCTCCTCCATCAGCGCGACCATAAACGGGTCCGCTCGCCTGGTGGAGCGCGGCAGCGAGGAGGAGAAGTACTACCAGAATATCCACCTGGCCAATAACACTTTTGATTCCGCCGCTGGCCCGGCCGAGGAGAGCACAGCGAGGGAAGACGACGAGCGGGCGAGGTTACATGATGCGAGGGTGATTGTGGTGGGGATAAAGGACGTCAGGATTGCGGATTGGAAGGGCGCGGTGAGGGATTGGGTGATTTCGGGCGAGGGGGAGGAGAATAGGGGGCAGGTTAATGGGATTTAAAAGTTGGGCAGCTTTGTAAAAGTGATAAACTTGGGGGAATAGCAAGTGAGCGTAATTGGGATTCTAACGCTGGTATCAACTCCTTGTACGGCGCTCACAAGACTACATGAACAATGCTTTTACTCGAGTCTAGCAACTCAGGGGTAGTAAGCACTTACAACACTGTGAAGTTGCAACATCATTGATCCGTTTCACCGAGTTGAAAATCATAATTATTCATAATATTCATCGCCTTTGCTTTCCATCCCCATGATGCTAACCGCTCTTTGCTTGGCTGCTAATCATACAAACGTTAACGCATGCCTATTGTTACATAAAAAATGAGAAACCACCAAAAAGGGGGATATCAATGAACCCAGACCAATAAAAACATCCAGTCCCAAACCAGATGGGGAACCCCAAGGTTCATCCGAACCCTTTCCTTCTCCACGCATTTGTATTAGACCGCCGCTATTACCCACCTACCAACCGTACCAATTCTATTGCTAGCGTTGCTTGAACAACGGATGGACCAACCCAAACGAAAAGAAACAAGTCGAAACGACTGCCATGCCTACGGCCACCACCTCCGTTGCAAATTCTTCCTCCTACGGATCTGTCTATAATGCTAAGAAAAGAAAAGGAGCTATTCGGAATAAAAGTGACCACGTTCACGCAGCCCACTCCAAAACCTCCAACGCACACATCACCAGGACGAGTGTCGAAGGCAGGATCCTACAGCACGGTGTTAGCATCAAACCACCACACAGTCACAACCAGAGGGGGAAACAAACCAAATAACATAACTCTGAAACAGAATCCTCCCCATAACCCCCTCATAAACCCCATTGATCTGGCAAATCTGCGCCAACTGCAACGCCGACGGCGCCCCCGTCAAAAGGAAGCACACCACCACAAAGATCGGGTCGTCCAAGATGCTGACGGGCACATACTTGGCAAACAGGGCCAAAATAGGCGCCATAATCAACGTCGGCAGCAGCATCCTGCTGATCAAACTGGCAACCAGCAGCTTCTTGCCGATCTCCTTCTCCTCGGGGTCAACAGTCTCATGGTTTTGCGTATTCCGAGCCAGGTTTGCACCCAAGACAACCAGGATCAAAGGGACGGCAACACCGGCCGATGACCGGAGGGCAGCCGTGACCGACGTCTTCACAAAGGTGTCGTCCTTAAAGAACAGCTCTTGAAGGTCTTTGATCGACGCAACCAGGATGGCGAGGAGCATGGCCCAGAGAGGAGGGTTCATGAATTCCCAAAGGAAGTTGTAGACGCGTTGGCAGACGGAGTAGATGCCTGAGAGAAGTGCCTGGACGGGACGGGGGAGCGAATGGTACGTCTTGCGGGAGATGTCGCAGATGTAGTTGGTCACCCGGGCTTGGTATTTCCTCGTGGCCCGGCCGATGCGCACAGGAAGACCCTTGACACCTTTAGGAGTCTCAGCCTCATCGTTGTTACGAATTCGAGGAAAGGACAAAATCCGGTTAAGATCTTCTTCGTTGCCTTCGAGCTGGTTAAGAGTGCCGTTGGCACCATCAACACCGTTGCCAGTGGGTTTCTTCCAGGCATCGTGGCCCTCATCATCCGACTCGTGAGGTGAGTGTCTCGAGGATCCAGCAACAGGTGTTCGACCGGCAGGTTCGTAAACTGCCGAATCATCCGTATGAGTTGGGCTAGAAGGCCGTTCGATGCCTACGGTGTCTGGGTGAACACCCACGAGAAGACCCTGTGTCTCTGATGATCCATCGGGCGAAAGCGCGCCGTATCTACCTTCCTCGACAGTCTCATCGGCATATTCGTCATACTTGTCCTTTGGCGCCAAAAGAACATGGTAACCCCAACTCCATCTGACTAGCTGCCCGAGTTGCTGGAAAATCATGAGGTACAGGATACCTCTTGCGGCAACCTCCTCATCACTATCATCTTTTATCCTGTCCCAGTGAAGACCCTTAAGTGTCTGCGAAAGAGAAATAACCAGAGAAATCGGCAGCGAGTTTGAGTTGCCGAACACGCCCATGGCGGTGACAAAGTTGGAGGCGCGACGGTTGAAGCCAAAGCATTTTCCCACCACACGAGAGACAAAATACGAGACTAGTGTTTGAATGACAAAGATGATGGGGATGACGCCGAGTTCGACGAGCTTCTCGGCGTTTAATTGGGAGGCGAGCTTGGTGAAGACTGCACATCAGTTAGTATCACACTCTCATTCACTGACCGTTTTGGAACAAATTGTTGATGACATACTCAGGCATGGCGTGAATAGCATAACATTGAGGTTGGCTAGAAACTTTTGCTTGTCGGCATCAAAGTGACCAAGCCGCGCGATGACGTATCCTGGCAAACTGACGCAGACAACTTCGAGGACGGCGCCGAAAACGAGAAGGACTAGGTGGTCGAGTGGTGGATGCGAGTCGTGGGACGATGTGAGAATAGCAAGCGGCGAGGAGCCTGTTAGTGATATTTGATTGTCCCACGGCTCGCCAGCAGCCATCATGGCCGAGCGCAACGCCGTGGGCGCCCGAAGTTCAAGAAAACCCATCAAAATAGTTGGTCGCCTTGGTTCGATACTCGGAGGTGATTGTTGATGAAGACGGAGAAAGGAGAACGGCAGAGGAGAATGGCCGCTAGAAGGTACGGAACGGCGGATGTAAAGCTGTGGGAGGTTGTGGGTACGCGGGTGTGCCTAGTAATTAATGTATGGGTCTGGTAGCTGATATGCGCCTGTACAGATCGGTGTCGGCTTTGATGGAAATGTCGGGCAAACGACTCCGTTGGTAGGACAGTGAAACGGTAGGCCGCAATATTGGAGATGGAAAACAACCAAAAGATCAAAGGAGGAGAGCTGTGATGACAGCCAACGTGTAGTAGAGGAGTTTTCAACAAGGACGGAATTGGGCTACCACTATGATAAGAAACCTGGTCGGCCTGCCCTGGTCCTTTGAGATGACGAGCCTGGCGTGCCTGGTCTGACCTCAGTTGGGGGGCCCATCGACCACCTTCGATAAGGAAAAAAGCCACACTCGTTAATTGTTAGGAACGACCCCCTTTGTTTCAACAGCCGGCCAATGATATCATGGTTTTCCCTCCTTCTCTCAGATGTGTTCCCAGGTTCCGGCTAACAGTGGATAACCGGCGCTGAGTGGGCCGGCACTGGTTAGTCCGTGCCAAGGTCTTGTTAATCGCAAGCCAAGGACGCTGCGGCTGCTGGAGGGCGCCTGAAGAAGCAGCTGTGCCCCCGCGCAACGCACCACCCAAAGGCTATGACGTTAGGTAGAAAGGTGTGAAGCTTCTCTTGGCATCGTGCTCCTTCCCTACGCTGCGGTTGTGCTCTCTGAAACTTCCAGGTTCGCGATAATGACAGGAAACGTGTTCGACCCTCAGGCTCTCGTTGGCTGCTTTCAGCTAGACCAATTGACCCCCAGGGCTGGCACAGCATCGCCAAGGAAGACGTTGCCTGAGCAGGTGCGGTTGTGGAGCACTGAGTGATTTCAAGGTTCTAGGATCGTGGAGAGGAAAGCTTAATCGGAGTGTCGGAGTGTCAGAAGAATCTGTCATGTTTTGATTTTCCCGTGCTTTCGTACCTTCGGCAACGGTCGTGAAGGCAGATTGGACCACGACGGCTTCTGCGGATGGCTTTGACGACATCGAGCAACACCAATGCCCACAGCAGCAGAATAATTCGTCCAGGGATATGGTCCATGACGCACTTTGATGGGACTGTATCCATTTGGAGCACTCGCTGACACAACCGTGCTTCCTTCAAAACATAAACTGCGTCAGCATATTGAAGCCCTCGGGAATGTCGTCAGGAAAGTAGGTACCGTCATGGACACCAATTTTGTGTCTTGAGTCATTTGTATTATCTCGACTATTAGAGTGTTTCGCCAGTCGGTGCGAAGGAGCCTAGATGCATCGATTATCCCCCAGCAATGCATATGCATCACAAGCAGTCGACATGCATAGTATCTGCAAGGGATCATGGACTTTCCACACCTTTGGATTCAATTGATGATCAAGGTTGATTATGGATGCTGTTGTTGCTGTCCAACACATCAGGTATCGACAGGAGCGACCACACAACAACGAGCGCTCTCGCCACTCCTATCTGAAGGCGTTCAGCAACGAGGACACCTCATTGGCAGGCTTAGTGGGTGGTGGGAGAGAACAATGAAGCAGATTGCGGGTGATGCGGTAGCACCTCCCGCACCGCACCATCACAAGCCATATTCGAACAGGCGACTTGAAGGCGAACTTTTTACGTGTCGCTTCAATTAGTTTTGGGTATAGTGCGAGAGTGCCTGAGGCGCAGAGTCCTTTGGGCTTTGGTCAAACACCTCTCTGGCAGCAAGATCGACGACATTTCGACCGGGTTTGGCAATGCGATTCTAGACTCAATCACACATGTTCGCCTTTGTGCATGCTGTGGCTCGTTTCAGACCGACGCAAGGAGAATACCATCTTGATTTCTGTGCTCCTTTGCAGACCCTCGTGATGGTCTTTCAGGCAGGGACCGCCAGTTTGAGCTTGGTGTGGCTTGTACAGATGAAGATCTTCTTGCCTTGGGCTTCCTTGGCTGTAACCGCCTTGTCAAACGTCAGTGGCCGGCCGCGTTATCTGATGCAATTCACCAGCCACACCTCGACGTCATAGCTTGCCTTTCCATCAGAGGTCACATTTCCCCTGTTTTTTTTCTTTTCTGATTTGATGCCGCTCCAGCATTCAGGGCATTTGACGAAGCTGCACAGTGACGGGGACGGACAGGCGACGCTTGTCCCAGACCAAGTTGCAATTTCTCGTATACCGCCTCTTGAAATCCACACTAGAGCACTAGAGCTTGACGTCCTTCTTCTTCTGCGCAAAACAGGCGAAGAAAGATGGAGCCGGCCATTCCATGGTTTTTGGAGCTGGCCAGTGCCCGGATTTGCCAGCGGCGGGGCTCTGGAGGTCGCTGAGCTTGGATTCTTGGCAGCGAACCAAAGTCAAACAACACAGCGGGGACCAAGGAGGGGTACTCTCCGCGGAGCAAATCGCCCTGACCAGCCAGACACATACGCCCCTCAAAACTTCCCATCAATCCCGCCAAAAAAGATACCTGCCACTCCTAACATCACACCCGGAACTCGGTTTCAAGCGACTCGCAGGTCACCAGCAATTCATTCACAATCCTCAGTGCGCGGCCTCGCTGCGGAGACACACACCTGCAGCCCTTGTGCCTATCAGTGGCCAATCGCTTTGCTGCCCAAGGTACCGAGGGACCTATAACTGCCTGGCTTGGTCATTGGCACCACCAGGCCAGGACTACCTGAGTGGGCATTTCAAGATCTCGATCCCACTTCCCCATCGCCCGCCCACGCCTGTCCTCCCTCATATCAACAATTCCTCTCTTTCTCCGGTTCCTAGTGCAACCTCAACCACACATTTCAACCTTGACTCCTTGAGCTTCACCCTCAACCAGCATATACCCCACCACCTACAGTAGCCTAATGCTCGGTACCTGGTAGACTGCTTCATCATCGCAATCAACACCCACCACACCGAGCCTGCCACCATGGCGGACGACAACCCCCGATCGGACCCGGTGACTCCAGACGAGTTTGCCATGAGCAGTCCGACCTCACCCGCTTCCATTGACGAGTCCTCGGAAGCCAGCACACCTCTTGACCCCCCCAGTTCGAGTTCTGATGCCCAGCCGGGCTTTGGATCGCCTTCCAGCGACCCACCCCGCCGTGTACCCTCTCTCAGAACGGTTTCCGATCCTCAGGGCAGCGCGCACATGAACCCGACCTCGAGTGTCGCTGGCATTCTCAACAATGCTAGGAGGCCGCCACCAAGTGCCAACAGCCTGCCCATGGACATCATGGCAAGAGCACGCGCATTACAAGAGCAACGCATGGGTATGGCCCGGGCCAATGCTGGCGCTTCCCCTATGGGCGGCATGAGTCTGAACATGGGAGGCATGGGAGGGTCAATATCAGGAGGGCCGATGGGAGGGCCGATGGGCGGACCGATGGGAGGACCGATGTCGGGTGCCTTATCGGGCGGGCTCAAGCTCCCCGGTGGCATGGCCCGACCATTGCCCCCTGGCTTTGCCAAGTCAGCTCCGGCTGTGCCGGGGACTGGACCAAGGAAGCCTCTAAGCTTGAGCGAGAGGAGGGCCATGAAGATGGGGAATATATCAGAGTCAGGGACCCCTTCGCCGGCCGGTACACCCAAGCTGTCGGATATGAACCAGGGTGACGGGCCAAAACGGCCGTCTTTGAACGGAGAAAAGCACAGCTCGAAGCTTATGGACTTCAAGAACTACATCGACGCGGATAAGGGTTGGATCACCTTCGAAGGGGCGGCGACGATTACCCGCACGGGTGTCAACTTCGCCGGCGGGCAGACCTTTTCCATCTCTTTGGACGAAATCGACGTCATGGATGAACTCGGCAAGGGCAACTACGGCACTGTGTACAAGGTGCGCCATGCCCGACCAAAAGCACCACGCTTTGGGCAAGGCTTGTCCCATTTCAAGCCGCTTTCCCGCCAATCCTCTCTGTCCGAGGAGGACGCATCCGCCGAGTCGCCATTAAGTCCAACCTCAAATAGCGGGCGGACCACCTCTGGTGTTGTCATGGCTATGAAAGAGATCCGACTCGAGCTGGACGAAGCCAAGTTTACGACCATTCTCAAGGAGCTGGTTATTCTCCACGAGTGTGTTTCCCCGTACATCATCGATTTCTATGGTGCCTTCTACCAAGAAGGTGCCGTCTATATGTGTATCGAATATATGGACGGTGGCAGTATCGACAAGATATATGCTGGCGGTATTCCCGAGAATGTCCTGCGGAAAATTACCTATGCCACGATTATGGGTCTCAAAAGCCTCAAGGACGACCACAACATCATCCATCGCGACGTCAAGCCTACAAATATTCTAGTCAACACCAACGGACAAGTCAAAATTTGCGATTTCGGTGTCTCGGGCAACCTTGTGGCAAGTATCGCCAAGACCAACATTGGCTGCCAGAGCTACATGGCTCCGGAACGTATCAGCGGAGGCGCGATGGCCGGTGCTGCGGATGGCTCGTACAATGTCCAGAGTGATATCTGGAGCTTGGGCTTGACCATTATCGAGTGTGCCATGGGAAGATACCCCTATCCGCCCGAGATCTCGAGCACCATCTTCAGCCAGCTCAGTGTAAGTTATTGATCGAACCCCAAGCTATTCTGGTGCCAGCAGCTGACACTAACATCCTAACTCAGGCCATTGTGGAGGGAGATCCGCCAGACCTCCCCGACGAGGGCTATTCCGCCTCTGCCAAAGACTTTGTCCGCTGCTGTCTCAACAAGATTCCTGCCAAACGTCACACCTACGCCATGCTCCTCCAACATCCCTGGATCAAGGCCCTCGGCAAGCCCGAGACCATCACAGAGGACGCCGAAGCCGAAGATGCGGCCGCGGATGACGAACTGGCGGACGCAGCGGGTGCGATGAGCATTGCCACCCCCTCAGGTCACATAGGACAAGGGGACTATGAGGTGGCCGAGTGGGTGAATAGTGTTTTGGACCGCAAGAAGAACGGGCTGCTGGGTGATTTGGCAAACAAGCCGGCTTTGCACGCTGCACCGCTTGATGCGGTGAGTCCTGCGGGCAGTCCAATGACTGGCGCTTGAGTCGGGTTATTCAGTGCGAGCAACAAACAGCCCCCTTTTTTTCGGTTCGATTGTACTTTTTATCTTCTTGTCTTCACTTCTCTTCTCTTTTTCTCTGTGAGAGATTCAATTTTTTCGCTGGAGGAAAGCTTTTTACCCTTGCATAACACTATTGCTGGGCATTATTTGTTACCACTTCAAAGTCAGAGAAAGGGGGAGCGGCAACGGTTCTTGATCTTTGGTTCTGGGAGTGTGGGGATGACTGGAGTTTTTTTTCTTTTTCTTTTTTCTTGCGTGTGTGTATGGAAAGCATGGAAGCTGGTTTCTTGAGGGGAAGGGGAAATAGAAATGATCAGAGCATATACGGAGAGAATTTCTATTTTCTATATTTTTATATCTTTTCTTTCTCTGTCTTTGAATGTCTGTCTGAATGTGTTTACAAGATTGATGGTACATTTTTGTGCGTGGATTTGATATATGTATGATTAGTTTTGTTTGTTGAGAGTTGTGTTGAAGAAGAAATAGATGTTGATAGGATGATTGCACACGATACATTTGGAACTAGGGAAGTACTCTCGATTCATCTTTCACTGTTGCTGCATATACTGTTTCCTATCGTTGTTGCGACTCTGTCTTCTCCCCTCGCCAGGCCCTCCCGAGAGTTTTTGATCTTTTGGCCTCGAACCGCCTCGTCCTCACCACATTGTACGCCCACAGAACAGCCGACAAACCGACGAGCATAGCGAGAGCAAAGAGCGGAACCACCAATGATAATATAGTGAAGCCGTACGACGCGTCCTGGAAAGCGTCGCTCTCGGCCAGCCGGGTCGTCGAAAGACCGACCTGGGCGGCAGACAGGACAAGGACGATGTAAGCTATGACGGTGATGATCCAGGCCGAGTTGTCGCGGTAAAAAGCCCCGTAGGAATTCCAGGTGGCTACGAACCCGGTGGAGAGGGGACCCTGGAGGGCGAAGAAGATGAGGTTCAGCCTGTTGAGCCTCAGCTCGCCGTAGATGAAACGGGGGTTGACGTGGGCGTACAAACGGTTGGCACCGTCGCCGTCGCCGTCGCCGTCGCCAGCGAGGACTTCGCGGACTAGCTGGCGCCATTGGGGCCAGGTGATTTCTGATGGGATGAGGCGTTTGTCCTTGGCGATGAGGAAGTCGTTTTCGTAGGCTATGAGGGCGATGTAGGAGAGGAGGAATCCGAGGGCGCAGCTTTTAAGGCGGGGGTGGGGGCAAGGGGGTGGGCCGGCTTCTAGGGGTTGTCGGGGGAGGCATTGGGAGCAGGAGAGGTAGCTGGTCCAGAAGTGTGGGTTTAGAAGGTAGCGCGGTAAGGGCTTGAGGTAGATCCGGCCTGAGCCCCAGACTAGGTGGGCTTCCATTCGTTCGATGACGGTGATCTCTCGCCCTAGGGCTAGCTGGTAGTGGAGAGGGCGAGGCGGGACGGGCCGCCCTGCAAGCCACAGTAGGTGGATGATCCCATGCAGCCTCTTGACGTTCATCTCCTGGGCGATGAGGTCTAACTCGGGGGTAGCTGGGGCCCGCAAGTCGTCGGGATCAGCCCGATACGATGCAGGAAACTGGTCAAGAAGCCTGTTCCCGTCGTCTTGAACGTTTTCCTGATTTGTCTCTAGAATATTGCACGTAAAGGGCGATGCTGGTAAGGGCGCCATGGGTGCGACTCTTTGCTGCGGCTCTGGCTTGAAAGTTGTAAGATTTAAGTGTTAAGTGAACATCCCATCGTCGCTCACCTTGGTGTGTGAGCTGTGATGGCAGAGATCAGGGTCAAGCGTTGGTCATGGAGGATTCGTATGAACTGCGAATGAAGTTGAAGTTTAGCGAAAACAATGTGTAGCTGACGATGTATATGAGTTGGGGAACGGGCTGTCCACGTCTTCAGAAAGATGAGCGGCTGCCAGCCCAGCATCCATGCTGCTTATTCCGTACCTCCCCTTCCTACCTAAGCGCCAGCCTTTTTCAGGCACTCAGCTGGCTTGGCGCAAACGTGGAGAAACATCAATGCTACACTGAGAAAAAGGGTGAAGCCGTACGGCACGTAGTGCTTAGGGGCTGCAAGTTAATTATATCACTCGTGTTACCATGATAGGTTGTCAGGCACTGCTTCAATGCCTAGCCTTGTTCGGTGATGGTGGATGACTGTATCGTGTTTCGACTGGTCATACTAAGGTAAGCCCACCTCAGGTTGATAAACGGTGACCTATCCCGCTCCTCCGAGCTTTCCTACTCCAATTCAGTACAGATCAAAGATGGGATAGGCAGAATATCTCACACAATTTCGTCAAGTCCCACGTCTAATATCACCTTCAACCTATCCCGGCAGACACAAGCTGCACCACACAACCCATCAAAAATCATGGCATCCTCAGCAACTCCGGCCACACCAACACTGCCCAAGTCAAGCTCCCCCTACATCATAGACAAGAAGCCAATCGCCTGTAGCAAGTACCAAGGCCTCGGTGTTCTCACTTACATCGACCCAAGAGACAAAGACGAAGTGATCCGAGAACGGGACTTTGTCTTCCTCCGCAATTACCCTGACCTGCATCAGCCAGTCGGGATGCTGGTCCCCAACATCTACAGAGACTCCCGGGGCAGGTGGTGCACTATCCTGGTTCAGCAGTTCCGCCCCCAATACGAAGCCGACACGATTGAGTTCCCAGCTGGCTTTGTAAGCCGCTGCAGGGCCGAGACGGCCGAGCAGGCTGCTGTGAGGGAGCTGGAAGAGGAAACTACCAAGACAGGCTCGGTGATTGGGCCAGCGAGCCCTCTGTTGACCTCGGAGCCGGTGCCTATTGCTGCGAAGCTCAGCGCAGTTTTTGTTTGTGCGAGAGATAAAGATGGGGAGGAAGAGGGGCAGCAGAGGTTGGATAAGGGAGAGTTTACGGTTGAGTGGGAGGTGCCATTGAGGGAGTTGGAGACCAAGCTCAATGAGCTGAGAGATCAACACGACGTTGTTGTTGATCCGAGGGTCTGGATGTTTGCTATGGGAATTCGTTATGCACAGGAGCTCGAATTGTAGGGTATTGTGTGGTTAATGGGCCGATTTTACCGTTACTGTATTGCACTTCGGAGGGATCTGGGGTCATGAAGCTTGTTCTTTGGTAGTTACTCCTGGGGACAGCCTCATATCTAGGCCAGAAGCCCAGTGTTTTGACACAGCCATCATGTCTACTTTAGTCGTATCCCACTACCAGCTTCCCTGTTGATAAGAGTCCTCTTCTTCACCGGTCGTGGGGTGAGGGTTCCCATTGCCGCCCTGACTCAAGGAGTCGACATCAACATCGTGATCATCGTCCTGTAGCCTCAGCCTGCCGATTTGGTCCTCGAGTTCGGGTTCTTGCTGGCCAAAATCGCTACCAATACGCTGCTGCTGCTGCCGTTGTTGTTGTTGTTGTTGTTGTTGTTGTTGTTGTTGTTGTTGTTGTTGCTGCTGCTGCTGATGGAGGTAGCGCCGGTTCTCTCTCTCCTGTTCAATGATTTCCAATGCCAACCCTTCCTCTCGCTCCGCAGAGATCTGCAATTGCCTCTGAATAAAGACAGCTCTATTCGCCAGTAGCTTTATGCACTCATCGTGCCCCTCTTCCAGCGCCACTTCTAGAGCGGTGCCCCTGTTGGGGCTTATGGTCATGATGTCCGCCCCATGCTCCAGCAGCAGCTTCACACATTCATAGTCACCCACCAACGCCGCAGCCATGAGAGGTGTATCACCATCTAAATCAACCATGTTTACATCCGCACCCGCCTGGATGAGCTGTACAATGTACTCGGCAGGTAGCGAGGCTGCGGCGTGAACAAGCGGGCTCCCGTGGCCTGGTCCACCAACCACATTGAGTTCGATTCCCGGAGCGGCGAGAAGATGAGGTAGAATTTTGGGCTGCATCGATGCCACGATGATCGGATACTCATATCGCCCGCCGCCTTTGTTTGGGTCTGCGCCTTTGCTGAGCAGATACTCCACGACTTCTTCGTGCCCGCAGTCACATGCTGCTTGAAGAGCGGTGCCGGATGAGTGTTGGACGCTGAAATGGTTGATGTCGGCTCCGTAGTCAAGGAGCAGCTTGACAGCGGCTAGATGGCCTTGCTCGGCCGCGGCTTGAAGAGCCCAGCCGGAATCAGATGTGACAGTAGCACCGGCCTCGAGAAGGGCTTGCACAATAGGCACGTTTCCATCATCCGTGGTGACTCCGTCATTTGCAGCAGCAGTGAGCGCATTGCCAAATCTATGTAGCTTCTTATTAGCATCGGCGTGGAACCAGGGGCAGATGATAGTGCCTTACAAAGCGCCTTCCGCGTTTGGATCAGCACCCATCCTCAAGAGAGCCTTGACGGTATTCTCCTTCTCGTTATCGGTGGCCGTATATAGGCATCTGTTGAGGATTTCCTGGTCGATCTGGCCTTGCCTATGCCTCCATATTTCATCTAGCACGTCTTCGAGGCTTTCGACGCTTGTTGAGGCTTTCTCAAAGACGTCGTTGCAGTCCAGAATATCTTGCGAGTGGCGCAAAAGAAGCTTGGTGACATCCCAGTTTTCTTCCTCGAGAGCGGCTTGGAGGGACTTCTGAAAGGTGTCCTGACCATGCTCGTTTTCGAACAATAAAGACACAATCTCGACGCGGCCGGATCTGGATGCGAGGACGAGAGCCTTGCTATACTCCTCCTCACTCAGAACCTCGTTCCCGGCGTCTAAAATGGTTTGGAACATGGACAGGTCCGAAACCAGGGCTGAGAGCGCAAGAGGCGGCGGCCAGTCCGAGGCCTCGTGTTCATGCTCTGGGTAGTTCAGTTTGGCATCGTGTTCGATCAGCAGCTTTACCGCATCGCTGTTGCCGGACAGAATAGCCGCGTTGATGACTGGACCTATGTCAACATCGACTGAATTGACATTGGCCCCTTTACTGATGAGCTTCTTCATCACGAGAATCTTGCCGCCCGCGGCGGCCATCGAAAGAGGGGTACACGCTGAACTGTTTTTGCCGGCGTCATCGAGTTTGACACTCTTGACCTCAAGCAACTGCTCGATGATATCTGCCTTGCCGAAGAGGGCAGCCAAGTGGAGCTGTGTGCTATGTTAGTCGTTTTTTTCCAAGAACTGGAGCAGGTTGAGGGTTCGAAGAAAAAACCTACGGGTGCGTTGTCATACGTATCGTATTCGTTCACTTCCTTATCATACCCTGCCTTGAGCAACGACGCGACCAGTCGAGGAAACCCAACCGATGCGGCCACATGTAGTGCTTTCAGGCGCTTATCGACGACCAAGCCGTCAAAGGCGCCTGTAAGTCTCTCAAACTCCGTCAGCCACAAGTGGCGAATCTCCGAGTCTGGCTCCCAGAATGCCTTTTCCAAGCTGAGCCTTTCCGCGATATCTCTGGTGGCCTCACTCGCATGCTGTAGCCAATATCTCGTTGCATACGGCAGAATTGGTGCTTGCTGAGGTGTATCCGGTGCTTGGGCAGTTGAGTCCAAGTCAGTACTCTCGTCATCATCGAAATCGAACTCGATCTCTTCATCTTCAGTATCATCACCGATATCAGGAGCCCCGGAAACACCAGGACCGGCAGCAGTGACGGGCCCTTGCATGGCAACTGGCTGGTGTTGAGTCTGTTGACTCTGGCTGGACGTAGGAGACTTGGCAACTATTGTGGACTGAAGTGCTGCAGTCAAGTTATCCATGATATGCGAAAAGCATCGCAGGGCAAGAATTCCGTGCTGGAGCTGAATGGCATCCTCGGGAAGATCGAGAAGCTTGTTGGAGTTCTTGTGGAGGTGCTTTTTGACATCGGCGTTGACGAAGCCGATCCGAGCCTCGTCACCGGACTTTCGAAGCGTGAGTAAGGGTCTGCACTTTTGTATCGTCTTGAAAAGTTCCTCCTTGTGTTTTGCTTCACCAGCTGGCAGTCCGGCAAGCACTAACAGCTCACTCTCCGTGGGGTCTTCGTATGTCAATACAAGGGCGCGGAGGAGCTCCTTGATGGCATCGAGGCCTTCCTCGTTTGGTCTGAGTATCTAAGGTGTGATGACGAATCAGCATTTGATGGTCATTTTCATTCTAGGAATAACGCACCGAGCGCCAGGCATGATCCAAAAGTGTCGCAAAGTCTTGCGGCACACGCTCTAGCATCTTCCGGACCTTGATATCATTAGACTCGGCCGGAAGCGCTGCTAGCTGCACAATCGCCACGTCAATCCACTTGGTGCTCTCGGCACGGTTACCAATAACACTGCCGGCGAAGTAGGTGATTGCCTTGTTGTAGCCTTTCTGCTCACGCAGACCGTCGACCTTGCTCCAGGCATGTCGCTGCAGCTCGAGTTTAACTTTGTCTCCGTACTTTTCTGAATCGTTGAGATTGATCTGGCGAACCACATCGCTTGATCCAAGCACTCTTCGAATGGATATCCTGTCCCTGGTTGCGAACAGCCACTTGGTACGGACGCGCTTGTCAGCTTGGAGCTGAGGTGAATCGATGAGCGACTGCACGAAGGATAAGAGCTTCTTGGTTGAGTCCTCCTCCTCTGGGAGCTCGTGGAGGTTGCAGATGACGAAGTACACAGTTCCAATAGTGCTCTCGGTGAGCATGTCTCGCAGACTCTGGCAGAGATTCTCGATGCCGAGCGCGGTGCTGTTGTTGCTGCCGTTGCTGCCGCCATGTTCGCTCGGGGCCCTGGGGATGAACTGTTTGGCATAATTGGCAAGATTGTCTTGATGAACGCAGAGTTGCCAGAGCAGAGATTTGACCACATCCTCGGCCGTGCAAAAGTCCGGGATTTGGTCGCAGAAGAAGTATGCCAACAAAGTTGGAGCCCGGTCCGAGGATTCCATCTTCTCCTTGCAAATTGTCGACTCGACGCTTTTGACCACGGCTGTGGCAGCAGGCGTTTTCCCTTTCCCCTCCCCACCGTATATCCAGAGAAAGTCGTCGGTTTTGCTCTTGCTATCCATCCAATCCTGAAATTCCGGCTCTGAGAGGATCCATGAGTCAGAAGCGAGCCGCTGCGAGAGTGATCTGAACTTCCTTTGCACGTCAGCGCCGTCGAGGGCATCAATCACGGCTTTGTGTGTTTCTGGTTTGATGCTGAATTGGCGCATGCAGTTGAAACGACCTTTGGCGTTGCGCGCTGCGCTATGAACAATACTCTTCAAGGCTGCTCGCACCAATTGGTACTGTGAGTCTTTGCAGCTTTCAAAACGGACAAGATCCCTGTGTGTGCGTGTCAGCCCGGTCTCGGATGCCCCAGGCAGAGTGGCCGACTCTCTGCCTACGAACTCTCGATATTCCTGGATGCCTGATGTTAGCCTATACCCCTTACATTCCAGCCCCAACCGAAGTACCATTACTCACTCTGAGCTTGAGCTTCTCCAGGGTTGAGATAGGGAAGTCAGTAGGAGCCAACTTCTCCATCACCTTGTCCCAGCGTGTCTCGTTCTGCTCCCAGAAGCAATGGAGGTCGACTTTCTGGTCAAGCTTCATGGCAGATCGTACGAAATCATGCTTCAAATCGCGCAAATTTTCGTTCCCTGGCGTCAGCAGGTCAAGAAGCTTGGATGTGATGGCCTTGCCCGTGTGCTCGTTGAGCTTGGTCCATTCTGTGGCAATGTCCGCAACTGGAGCACCACCGAAAGGTGTACCGAATGTCAAGATTCCCACAATTCCCTCGTACACATCGGGAAATTTGTCGCGGCGCTGTTCGGCCAATGTCAAAACCTTGGCCGCCACAAGACCTCCCATGCTGTGCCCAATCAATACGATTGGCCGACGGCGGCATTCCTTGGGCTCCTAGGTATTTTGGTCAGTGGACGGGAAGGAACATCTGAGGTAAACATCACCGTACTTCTCTCCGCTGCTTCAGGCTGACAAGCATGGTATCTGCAATATTGCTCATGTATTGCCTAACCTTGAAGGTACCCTGATAGGCCGAGGCGTAGTGGTAGAGCATGATGCGGGCCTGTGGAAAGTCCTTTTTGATACCCTCTTTATCCTTCAGCCAGTTGAAGCTTTTTTCGTCCTTCTCGTCCCACATCCAGCTCTTAACTGGGTTGGCACCAAGGCCAGGGATTGCCACGATGCTGTTTTCGGGTTAGATACTCTATCTCTCTATTGAACAAGACTGAAACGAACGGAGGGGTTTCATACTCTATGTTGGCATCTTCAGGGTCAACAAGAACGTTGACCTCTGTGACGATTGTTGGTTTGGTGGCCATTTCATGTAAACAAGGTCAGGTATCAAGTTTGAAGCTTTGCGTACGCTATGTCTGCGTCAACTTTTATCCCTGAGAATGTGGAAAGATAGCAAAGAATGAGGATTGGCCCTTGTAAATGTAGGTATTTTAAGGCCCTGTTAACGTAGATAAGGTAGGTATCTTGATTATGTCTACACATTGGGCTTTCAGCCGCAATGGTCCCCGAGCCGCAATGGTCCCCGAGCAGCAAGCCAAGACGGCGGCACGCCTCAATGGGTTGCATCAACCAACTATAACTGCCTGCTTCATGTCCAGCTTCCTATCTCGGTTCTGTCCAACGTAAGCACAAGGTCCCATACACCATCCTCGCTGACCTGCAAGCTACCTACCTTACATATTGACGGATGCAGCTTCGTCCGGATAGCTTTTGTCCACAAGGCTGGAATTTCACATTTAATTCTTTGAGGGCCGTCTTGTACGACGACAGGCGATTAATTCTGGGCTTTGACAGACCAAACTGAAGACTTTTTTCCGAAACTCTGAACGGGGAAAGAACGCGGGAAAATCAGGTCTGTCGCCCGAAATTTGGCCATTGCTGCTGACTTGGCCACTGCAAGCTCTGCCTTAGAAACCGCATGGCTCTGAAGTCACCTACCGCATCAGCCGTCGCAAAGATATTGAGGCTGAACGAGAAGTAGCGAGCCAGGAAAGAAAGAACATCCTGAGAGATAACCCAGTGCTTGGGAGGTTTATCTTGAGGAGTGTTGTTTCTGACCAATCAGACTCCACAACACCAACCTCAACAACCGACAAACACCACTTCTACAATCCCTGAGCAGAAAAGGATTATCAATATACTCAAAAATAACGTTAAAAGTAAGATAAAAAAGAAACAAAGAGCAAAAACATACAACACCGAGGATTCCCCAGTGGTCACCCACCTGAGTACTAGTTCGGCTCTCAGCTGCTTATCTAGGGGAGAGCGGACGGGATCCCGAGCTTTCAACTGGATATGGTCGTATGTGAAAGAATAGGCAAAGTTGGGGCATTATATATGTAATTTGAAGGTTATTCTGTGTTGATCGAGCCGGCCTGGAGGGGGGGGGGGCGGTGGGCGAGAAAGCACAAGAGGCCGGCCAGTCACTTCTCTTTGCCATAGAGATGAGTGGGTTCCTTGAGGATTATGTTGAAACGAAACAATGGGCAAAAAGACAAAGTAGAGGGTTGAGTTTGACACAAAGTCCAAGTGGGGATGATCACTTGGTGTCTTAGTCAACGGGTAGACTGTTTTGTTCACCCTTGATAACACCCTATTGTCTATGGAAATGGCAGATCTGTCTTAGATACAAACAAAGGCACCCTGGAAGTCATACCAAGAAGTCAAAGAGCAAAACTCGAGTTCAATCCTCATAATGGCCTAAAGCCGTTGCCTAAAACTTGCCCAAGCCCTTGAGACATCCCCTCTCATGTCTCCTCCCACTCAAAGATAAGCCAAACATAAAGCCTATGTACATACAAAGCGATCGTGTATCTACATGAGAAGTCCTCCGAAAAGATCCAAAATGCCAAAGATATCTTTGTGAAGCCGCCGCGATCATCCGTCCATATCGCCACAGCCCATGCCCCGGCATCCCCAGCTCATATCAGTCCACCTCCGAATTCTCTGTATTCGAATCATTTGCCAAGGATTCAGCTGGCGTTGATGCGAGCAATGAGGAATCTGGGAGCCTCGTTGCGGGCCTCATCACCATAGGTAAGATGGGCAGCAGTGACGATCAAAGTACCGGTGCAGACCAAGTCGCCAGTGGCGCAGTAAACCTCGGTGCGTTCGCGGGGGTAGTCGGGAATGCGGCCCAGGTTCTGGAGGTTCTTGGTGTAGCCGAAGAGGACGACGCCCTTGATCTGCTCGCGAATGGCAGCGGTGCTGGTGCTGATCGAGGCGGCTGCCAGAGCCGCACCTTGGCTGGATGGGAGAGACTTGTCAGTGTCGATTCTGAGTAAAGGGCGGATGTGAGAGAGAGGAGATTGCTTACCTGTAACCACCAGCAACAACCTTGGCCGAGGGGCACTTGGTGTGAGCCAAGGTGAGGAGCCCCTTCATCTCAGCAATAGCCGCGCGGGTAGTGCCATCGGGGAGGGCGTTGTCGAGGAGATCAGCCGTGTAGGCACCGCCAACACCCTGAACCCAGACATTGGCCGACCCAAAGCGGTCCTTCAGAGCATCGCCGACCGAGGGGCCGAGAGTTCCCTGTCATATTGTTAGGAAGTGATATGTCAGAGAAGAGGGGATACACACCAGGTTGCCCCTCTCAGTGGAGCCACGAGCGTAAATGAAGATGACAGGAGGGCAAGCACCTCCGTTGATCAGCTCGTTCTTGGTGTCGGAACCAAAGAGCTGGCGGGCCTCGACAATCTCGGTCTTTTGCTCGACGGGAAGAGCAGCAACAGCGCCGGCAAGGGCGAGAACGGTGGTGAGGAACTGCATTTTGAAGATGTTGCGGTGCTGAAGGCGAGTAAAGGCCGGTGGGCTGAGGCTGGTAGGCTGATGAGGCTGAGGATGATCCGAGAACTGCTCGAGTGCTTGAGTCTGGAAAAAGAAAAGGTTGATGAAGGCAGGAAGTCATCTCCTTCTTATAGACGATGTGTCGTCTGAAGTTCGGTGAAGTCCTTCATGTTGTTTCGATGCTCTCGCAAATCTAACCAGTTTCTGCATGGCTTCTGTTTCCAAGCTCCGTGACAAGGCCCTAGACATTGAGATCCACCACTTGGAGAATTACCCAGTCTGAGATGAAGGGCTTTGCTGCCCTCCTTCCCAAACCAATATCGCCGGTGTTTTGTTTCTCTCTCGAACAGTTTCCAGCTTTGCCAGCACCTTGATGTCTTTTCCTCGTGGCAGCCACCTCCCCTTTCCCCAAGCTAGGGACTGTTGGAGTGGGCCCCTGCAGCTCCAGACAGGCATTCCCCGCATTATCCAACGCCAGGTGTGGAGCCACCCCCAGGATCGGCATCGGGGAGGTAGGGGTGACAACGGTGTGCTTGGCCGCACCCAGAATCCCAGAATATGTGCCATACCTGACACACTGTTTCGAGTCCGGGTGCCTGGGCGTGTTTGACAGCCCCTTCCCCAAGCCAACAGACCGAGGCACCGAGCCAAAATGCCAGCTCTCGCGACTTTTGACTAATTGGGTTAAGCGTGACTGCGGCCTTGGCTTCCAGTAAGGCTCCCGCCGGACCTGATTCCGCATGCTGAGAGTAGCATTACCTTACCTGACTGACACACCAATAGCACTTCAACCTTTAGCAATCTCCAAAATCTATGTACATAGATGCACTCTTCAAGCCTCGGCCTAGTTCGAACAACAGCACTATCTCCAGGTTCGACGTTTGCTGTCTCTCTTGGCTATTCTCGTGGTTGGTCGCTCACCTTGGCAACCTGAGGCTCCAAATCGACCTCGGGATTTTCTACCTATGGTCTATCAGCATCTTTATGCTTTCTTTTCTTTTCTTTTCTTTTCTTTACTTGGAGCCTCTGCGGGAGTTTCAAGAGCCTCAATTGTTTCTTCTTTTCCTCGAGTGCCCCTATAGCGTCAGTTTCAAGTATCTTTAGAAGCTCTGTTTCTTCTTTGCTGACGCCTTGTCTGTTTCAACCATCTTCCATGCCTCTTAACATCTTCCATGCCTCTTAACATCTTCCATGTCTCTTAACATCTTCCTAGTCATCAGATCAGAGCCTCGGCCCAAGCTAGCTTCGCAAGCTATGCCAGCTCAGTCTTAACCCCCCGTAACCACAGATGTAGTCTCACAGTAGAC